AAGGCTACATTTAAAGGAAATGCATTTAATTTAAATAGCAAAATATAACATAAATAATTCTAAATACGCTAAAGGGACAAGCGATTGCAGCATTTTAATTTTTGATTGGCTTATCGATGAATAGCCGATGCGCCAGCAACGGGCAAAAAATCTTATTCCAAGTATATGTGACACTCTTAACGAAGAAATCCTCTGTCTGTACCTCTCGATAACGGTATTTTTTCTTTCTCTCACGTGTAAAATGTATTACGTATATCACATACGATAATTTGCGTTTCTTCGGTCCATAGGATTTATAAAGAAGAATAAGCGAATGGTAAAAGAGAGTAAATAATCTACCGACCCGTTGTCGATCAATACATTAAACAATGTGCGTTCAGTGCCTTTTGATTACAAGAATGACGTTGGATCAAGAACGCTTACATTCTTCCACACAACTTCTGCCTATTATAGATACAATTTTCACAATGAGTTGCGTATCTGCTCACAGTTTTCCCTTCCCGTGCATAATCGACATCATGTTCGTTATCATGCGATTATCTAGTTTTCCTTAGTGACAACACTAACTTAATAATAAAATATAATTATATAAAATAAACGAAGAATACGAGGCAAAAACTGTCTAGCTGTCCAATTCTTAAAGAGATAAATAGCTAAAAAGAAATAAGTCTGGTTAGAGTGAAATATAAGTATAAAAACATGCTTGTGTGGATATAGGATGAAGAAAAAAAATTAAATACTCATTTTCGTTAAGAGTGTGGTCATTAAATTATGCTTGTAATATGTCAAAATGAAAAATAATTAAAACAAAAAACAAAACAAAAAAAACAGAAAGACAAATAAAAAAAATTAACGTAGCCGCAGCCAGTTAGAAGTGTGACGAGTACACATATTTTTATAAATTTGTTTCGATACCAATGCTATTATGCTATTAAAAAATACTTGGAGAATATGTATGAATGTCGTGCGAATTATTGTAAGTAAAAATAACAGTAATTGTAAACTATAGTAATAATAAGCGAAGTTAAATGTTAAGGAAAGGTCACAGGAACGAATAAGAATGTATAATCCTATTATGATTTTTTTTTTTTTTTTTTTTTTTTTTTTTTTTAAAAAAGACAGATTTTTCGAAGTTATGTATAGTTTATAATATCCACAAGACCATCTGAAACTATGCGCTATATTAATATTATAATTATTATTCTTTATCATTACCATTAATACTAATACAAATACATTATTACTATTAATAATAATAATAATAATAATAATAATAATAATAACGACAACAACTACTGTAACCACTACTGCTACAACAACAACAACAACAACAACAACAACAACAACAACAACAACAACAACAACAACAACAACAACAACAACAACAACAACAACAACAACAACAACAACAACAACAACAACAACAACAACAACAACAACAACAACAACAACAACAACAACAACAACAACAACAACAACAACAACAACAACAACAACAACAACAACAACAACAACAACAACAACAACAACAACAACAACAACAACAACAACAACAACAACAACAACAACAACAACAACAACAACAACAACAACAACAACAACAACAACAACAACAACAACAACAACAACAACAACAACAACAACAACAACAACAACAACAACAACAACAACAACAACAACAACAACAACAACAACAACAACAACAACAACAACAACAACAACAACAACAACAACAACAACAACAACAACAACAACAACAACAACAACAACAACAACAACAACAACAACAACAACAACAACAACAACAACAATAATAATAAATATATTAATAATAATAATTATTATTATTATTAATATAATAGAAAGAGAGAAAAGAGAGATCACATTGTGTACATACACGCACGTGCGTGCACGCGCCCACGAGTGTGCGTGTGCATTTATGTATGAGTGCGTAGGCGCGCGTACGTAAGAACGTATGTATGCACATGCTAGGTGCATACCTCGTGTGGCTGAATATCTTCGCGACGGTGAATAATTTTGATGTATCTGTAATATTGTAAATGTATATAAGAAAATAAAGTTTATCCGATTGAGCCCGAAATAGGGTTATTAGAAACTACTTTGTACATAATATACATAACATGAATAAATATAGATATACGTAACGAGTATTGTTATCATTGGTTAGTCCTAGAATAGTTTATATCAATTGTGTTTATAGGTCGATGGTCGAGGCATCGATTGTAATAAAAATTTTATTTTTTTGCTCGTTTTTATTTATTTTTTGAGATAAATAACGCGGACCAGTGTTAAGGTTTCTTATAAATTATATATAAAGTACATTGAATAGAAGACGCGCGAGTCATTGAATTACTGCATCGTAAAAGCAAATAGGCCAAAATCAATCTTATTTTAAAATACGTAAACATTTTTTTACTTTAAAAATAAAAATATACTCGCTCGAGAGTAACGACAAAAGAATATCAACTTCCAATTGTTAATACATTAAGACATTTCTATATTTAATCATGGACTTTCAATTGGAGAATTAAAAATATTAATTTTTTTAAAGGCATCTGTTTTTATCATTGGCTTTTTTTTTTCACTCAACATCTTAAGTCACATTTATAATATTTACATGTGGCGTTCAAGTGCCGCCAATGCATTGAGATATTGTTTAAAATTATAAATTTCTGCTATTCAATTGGTAAAATTTATTTAATATTGTTTGACAATCTTCAATCATGCATATTTCTTAATTATCCAACAACTGAACACATTACTTGAATGACATTATTAATCATATATTTATATGTTATCATATAGTTACATATTTCTATATGCAAAGAAATTTTGTTTACAAAAAGTATTTAAATCGATATTAGATGTTGGTTTCTAATTGTCGAGTAAATTATAATTAAATACAAATTTTAATTTCCTTATTATATTAAATATAATTCTATTTTTACAATCGAACAATAAATAGTAATACATTAATTTGCACAAAAAATAATTTTAAGGATTATTGGAAGATGCCCATTATATATATATATATATATATATATATATATATATATACCTTCGTATTCTTTGATATATGAATATTTTATCGTCTTAAATGTATGTTAATAATCATAAAGTAATAATAATGATAATAAATCAAGGCAATACAAGCTCGTCACTTTTGTAAATTACGCATTAGTAATTAGAAAGATAGTAAATATTTAATTATTTTATCGAGAGTTGCAATAAACTATGAAATTTAAGAGTAAGTATTAGATGTTTATAGATTATAATATTTATAGGTAATTTTAGAAAAATATAAAATTTTCAATGCGTAAAAATGTAAGGCAATAGAGTAGAGACGCGCGTGCGCGTGTTCATATTTTACATTATCGTAATTCTATGCCATATAATTTATTTCTATGCATCATGGATTTATTATTATTTTATTATCTTTTGAATTAATGTTTTGAATTTGCAATAGGATACTAAATTAAAAATAATATTTTTGTAATATTTTTCTTTTGAAGGAATTTTCTTTATTTTCATTAAATCCTACATTTTATATGATTAATTTACTTTACTGTTTTACAAGATAAGTGAAAAAAACCTGAAAGTAATCGTCTTGGGTTTAGGTTAGAAATTATCAATAATGTTATACTTTATGTATGGTGATAAGTTTCGGAATTCTTTTAATAAATTTGTTTATATTATTTTCATATTTTACTAAAAAAATAATTTATAATACTTGTGAATTGTTTTTCAAATAATTACTGCAATATTTATTATTCTAATTATATCCTGATATTTACTATATAAATAGTATTTCATAAAATATAATAATAATAAAATAATAATAAATAATAAATTAATAATAAAATAATTATTAATGAAATAATTCTGTATTGTAATTAAGATAAATCATCAGGTTGAATTAATATATATTCATAGAAATCGTTTCTTACATAATACTTAAAAGAAAACAAGCGTAATTGATAACATAGTTTTAATAAATGGTACATTATAAAATTATTTAAGATATTTATCAACGCTGGCTATACAAGTAAAATTGTATGTGTGTTAGCGTATAAATTTCAATTAGTATATAATTGCTTGACAAATTAAAAAGAAAAATCTTTTAAATTATATGCTTGGTCGTTTTGGACCATTGAGGAAAGTAACGTAATAATAAAATCATTACCTAAATAATATAATTTAAGAATTTTAATTTCTTAGAAATATCATTATGTTTAAGTGTAAGGAATTTTTGTTCTTAGATATTAAATAGATTCTTCATAAAATTATATATGTTTAAGCTTTTCTAATTTTAATATAAATTATACTTTTTGACTTTTCATCAAATTTAACAAAATAATTTCTTGATATCAAAGTTTCATTTAACTTGCATATATATGTTTATTAAAATGTAAAATTGATGGCTGAATTTTTTTCAGTTTATTTAAAATAATTAATTTTTTTTTAGTCGATAAAGAAATAACATATTATCCCAATTCTCCTGGAATTTTAAAGAGATTAAACGAGTAGGCATATGAAAATGTAATTACCCGTGAAACGTTAAGAATTAGGGGAGCCAATCAATTATTACATTTATTTAGATGGAATGAATATATAAAAGATAAAAAAATTGAACCAGGTTCTCAAATTAATTATTTGACAAAGTAACAATGAAAATATATATTTAATTCTTAATATAATAAATAAATTAATTAAATGCTTCACACTTCTTTTAGAATTCAAGAAGTGAATTATGAAGATATGCTTTGTTTTGACGATGGAACAAAGAATATCGATGCTTTAATAAATGTCGATGTATTATCAATAATGATCAAGGACAGATTAACGTATGAAATTCTAGAAGAAGGCCTTAAACAATTTGTATATAAAAAATAATCATAAAAAATTTTTTCATTTAATATCTAATTTAAAATAATTAAAATAAATCCAGTGATATAAATTATACACTATTATAATATCTAGTCAATGAAGCAATTGACTAACAAATCATTTTCATATAATACTGAACTGGTTTGTTAATGGTAATCTCATTGTCAACAAAAGTTGCTTTTCTTAATTTAAAAAAACTTGCACATTTAGTTTGAGGATTTTGCATCGAAGTGTTCATTATAAATTTGTCAAAATTATCATTGGTTATTGTTTTACAAAGCAATGACTTTAAATAATCTGTATCAAAATTTTTAAATGGACAACCACCTTCATAAGTCGAACCCAAACTTTCCTCCTGAAAAGTATAAAAATATTATTAATTTTTGAAAATTATAAACATATCTATATATACAAGTATATTAATGAATATATTCTCTTAATAAAAAATTAATAAAAAGTACTATATATTATATATTTTGTTGAATTTTAAATGTATATATGTACCGCCATACTGTTACAATCTAGACATTTATAGTCCTTCTTTCCTCCTTCTAAGCCATACATATGTCTGATACTGTAAATAAATTTTTTATTATTTGTTTGCCAATCGTGAGTACAGAGAGAGTCGCAATTATGTGGCTTAGAATATTCATATTTCCAATAAATAAAAGCTTCCTCTAAGCTCATCCCACACTCTTTTAAAAATAGTGTATAGTAAAAACGTGCATAATGGCTTAAACGATGTTTATGTCGAAGCTGTAAGTGCAAATGCATCATACAAGGTGGAAAATGTACCGACACATTATCTATGTTGGACGCTGTAATTGTTTCACAATGATAGCCTTTGTTAAAAATATAATATTGAAGTTTTTGATGTAAAATATTTAAACGAGGATCTGTCAAAAAGTGCTTTATTAATATATTCTGACTCTTCATTTCAAATAATATAAAAGTTTGGAATAAGGATTGAAGCATCTCTCGCCATTCGGAACAGTAAACTGTGGCAATCCCTCTATATAAATTAACAACCTTCGTTTCTACTAAATCTGGTATTAATTCAAAATCAACTGGAAAATTCATAGAAAATTAATAAAATTATTTAACCCAAATTATGAATTTTAAACTAAATTATTTGCTTATACTGTTTTGTTGATATTTGTTGCAGTGCCTAGGATGATTTTTTGACGAAATGTGCTTAAAGACTTCTGATTGTAAATAGAAAGAACTAACGTTCATTAAAGTATTAATTACTGGATTAACAATATCATTGTCTCGTCTATTTATATGCTTTATAATGGTTTTAAATAATCTATATAGTTGTCTTGGTTGTATAAGAGATAATCTATATTTTAATAGTAATTTTTCTTTACTTATCCAATAAGAGAGCAACTCATTTGACTTTAATGCTAAGAGTCTAAAACAAGAGTAATAATGTTTTATTCATAATTAAATGATATATACAATAATGGCTAATTTACCTTAACGTAAAATGACCAACGTAATCATACGGTGAGCCCTGTAATAAATATTCAAATTTCCCTTTGAATGCATCGTTTTTATTATCATTCAACACACTCAAATATTCTAATCGTGAAAAAACTATTTCTTCAAAAACGTGCAATGTTATTAATCCTTTTGGTGGTTGAATGTAAAACATAGTTGCATAATTATATAATTCAATTTAATTACATATCGATATAGTCAATTGTGTAAGCATGTAATTATGTAATAAAATAACATCATTGATTACAGATTGAAGATTATACATTGAAGATTGATCGTTATAAATGTAATAACACTTATTTTTCATGTTGAAAAATATTAAGAATTTGTAATTTATAATAGTATCGTAAGAAATATAAGCAAATGAGATGTATAAACAATCGTAAATACGTAAAAACAAATGAGATAGAGAGAGAGAGAGAGAGCGGTAGAATTCCTCCCGCATAAAAACCTCGCTGAGATAATAAAGTACTCGTTGGTTTGTTTACAGTCCGAAATGGAAATTTTTAATATTGAGTCACTGACGTATTGAACATAATATTTGGAAGTTATCTTTGATAATAAAATGAATGCAACGTATTTTTAAATTTTAAATAACGTAAAACAATTGGTAATGAATTTTTTTACATTATATTTTTAAAAATATAATGTCCGCTTGGTTTAAAATTTTTATATATTTTATGTCGTCAGCTTAAAATGAATTGAATGCTCTGGTTCGAGTTTACCTAGTAATTGAAGAAGGATATCGTTTGCGAAGACGATTCGAGAGTAAAAGCCAATAAAAATTTAGATTTTACAAATATGGCATTTGATAAAATTCGTATGTCGTTTAGAATCTATAGTCGCCACTCAAAAATGTTTTCAATTTAGATAAAGAATTTTCTAATAGTAGATGGTTAACAATAGCTATGTCAAGTATTGTATAGAATAAACGGCATGAATATATATTTAGGAATAAATATAATTTGCAGTCGTAAGTCCATCTTCGTTGAATATAAGAATATAGTAATGATATTTAAATGTAATTTTTATATTTAATTTTATCATAACATTTACTAAAGAGGGCGCTATATTTAATTTCATAAACCCATTATGTGATTTCATTCTAACATAGATAATGATTTATGTAGTTCGTGGGAAAAGTAATTTTCTTTTTCTTAATTGTTGATCATACATTTTGACATCAACGCACATTTAACACCAATCTTCATAAATTTTTAAATTCTTATAATGGCTTTATAAAGAAACTGAAATATTGAATATTTAAAATTTCTTTTTACCTTAAAATAATCTGAAAATCATGACTGTCATAACAGCATTAGGAAGCTGAATTTTGAAGGTTATTAGTTTGACAGGGAAATTATTATTTTTTTATTGTAATATATTACCTTACATTCTTAAAGATTGACATGTTATTCATACTTATTGCATGGTCAATTAAATCTAAATTTTTATGTGTATCTAACTTTTAGGTAAATAGTGATATTTAAGGTAAAAACATAAATTTTAAGACTAGAAAGGAGTGATCAACTCATTTGTTCCGTCAAAGTGGAGTAATTCATTATTGTAATACATCATGGCATCGGGACCTATACTCCAGGTAAACGTGCGATTGATTTAAGTTTAAAATATATATAATAAAGTTCATTCTAAAATTATAGAAAGCTATTGATATGGTAACAAAGGCCACTGAAGAAGATAGAAACAAAAATTATGAAGAAGCATTAAGGCTTTATGAACATTCGGTAGAATATTTTCTTCATGCTATCAAGTGTAAGTTTTATTTAATTACTTAAATATTTCATACTAGTTTTTTTCACAAAAGATTTTATAATTTTCAATAAATAATAGTTTATAATATTTTTTCTTTTTTTTTGCGTATATACAAGCGTGTGTCTGTAATTAGTATTATAATGTTAATGCTTATTAAATGAATGTACGTGTATATGTAATTAAAATTATATAAGGTAATTAAATTCAATCAAATACAAACTAACGATATTACTTTAAATCAATATTGTTTTTATCTTCTTAAGTTTTAGAAACATGTACTTATAGTTAGAGTTATAAGAAAAACTTAGCTTATTTGCATTAGTTTAAACTTAATATAATTCGCATATAATAATATGGTTGGTTCAATATTTGTATCAATATATTCTCATAGTTTCATAACATAGTTTATAAATGTACAATATATAACGATGAACAAGAACTAAAATTTATTATTAAAATAATTTCAAATGTAGATGAAGCACAAGGCGAAAGAGCTAAGGATAGTATTCGCAGTAAATGTATGCAGTATCTCGATAGAGCAGAAAAATTAAAAACTTATTTAAAAAAGGGCAAAAAGAAACCAGTTAAAGCTGGTGAAGAAAATTCAAAAAATGAAGATAAGAAAAGTGATAGTGGAGATAGTGACACGGATAGTGATCCTGAAAAAAAGAAGTTGCAGAGCAAATTAGAAGGAGCAATTATAATTGAAAAACCAGATATAAAATGGAGTGATGTTGCAGGATTAGATGGCGCTAAAGAAGCTTTAAAAGAAGCTGTTATACTTCCGCTTCGGTTTCCACATTTATTTACCGGAAAAAGAATTCCATGGAAAGGAATTTTACTATTTGGTGTAAGTTATTTATTTAATTAAACGATTTAAAATTCAATTTAAATAGTATTTTGTATACATTATTTGTTCATTATAGATATTGTTTATCTTCGATTCATGTACATAGTATTATAGAAAATCATAAATATTTGATATTAATGTATAATGTATAAAAAGCTATATACTTTTCACTTTTAAATTTTAAATTATTAAATTAATAAAATAGCATTATATTTCAGCCACCCGGAACAGGTAAATCCTATTTAGCAAAAGCTTTGGCAACCGAAGCCAACAATTCTACTTTTTTCTCAGTTTCTTCTTCTGATTTGGTAAGCAAATGGTTAGGAGAATCTGAAAAATTAGTCAAAAACTTATTTGAGTTAGCTAGAACTCACAAACCTAGTATCATTTTTATTGATGAAATTGATTCTCTTTGCTCTTCAAGATCTGATAATGAATCTGAATCAGCTAGAAGAATAAAAACAGAATTCTTAGTTCAAATGCAAGGTTCGTAATTGATACTATGTAAAACATATTTAATAATGCATTTAGTTTTGAAAGTTTGATATGAAACTGAGTTTTAAAGAAAATCATCTAACATAAAATTCGAATTTTGAATCTCGTAATAAGTAAGTAACTAACGATGAAATGTGTTTAGGCGTAGGGACTGATAATGATGGAATTCTTGTTTTGGGAGCAACAAATATACCCTGGGTCTTAGATTCTGCTATTAGAAGAAGATTTGAAAAAAGAATTTATATTCCTCTACCAGAAGAGCCAGCAAGAGTAATTATGTTTAAGCTTCATTTAGGAAATACTTCCCACTTCTTAAGCGAAGAGGATTTTAAAAAATTAGCTTCGGCAACTGAAGGTTATTCAGGAGCTGATATTAGTATTATAGTGAGAGATGCTCTTATGCAGCCAGTAAGACAAGTACAAACAGCTACACACTTTAAGAAAGTCAGAGGACCATCACCTAAAGATCCATCAGTTATTGCAGAAGACTTACTTACGCCGTGCTCACCCGGAGATCCGGCAGCAATAGAAATGAATTGGATGGAAGTGCCTGGAGATAAATTATTTGAACCCCCAGTCACTATGGTAATTTTAATAAAATATAAATTATATATATTTTGCTTTGTTTTCCTCAATATGTTTTAATAAAATAGGTACGATGAAAAATAATTTTACAATATTTCATATAAATTTTAGTAAGACCAAATTAATTGACATAATTTAATTTTAGTAAATGTTTAGTATTAAAAATTAAAAAAGTTTTGATTAAGTAATTTAGTTAAATAATTTATAAATGACAACAACAAGAGTATTTTTCTTATAATTATGAAATTAAAAAATTGTTAGCATTCTAATTTAGCTATGAATTATATATATGATCCTTATTTTTATTTACAGAAAGATATGCTAAAATCATTAAGTACTACCCGTCCAACTGTAAATGAAGAGGACATGAGTAAGCTTGAAAAGTTTAAAGAAGATTTTGGTCAAGAAGGTTGATTATCATAGTCAATAAGAAGTGATCGAGATAATAACTGAATAATTGAATTTGAGCGCTCTTGCCTTGTTCCTGGTTTTGAATCATTCTGCATGTTTGATAAACATGAGAATGATAAGAAAAGTTTTTCCTTTGTTTAAAAAAACATTCAAGATACTCAAATGGCAACTTGTGTGTAATAAACTCATTGTTTGCCAATTGTGGCATCGCTAAAACAATAAAATAATGTATATTTTCAGATAAAAATATTTAAATTATCAAAACTAATCAACAAAGTTACAATTTTCATCTTTTAATGATGGAACAATTATAAGGGTTTTTGTTTTAAAAAAACAATTTTATTATTTAATTTAAATATTTTAATTGCATAACCGAATTTTTACTGTATAAGAAAAAAAAAATTAAAGCTTTTTTATTACGCAGATTTACCTTATTATAGCTTGTGTTTAAGAAACAATTTTAGAGTAAATTTTAATCTAGATTCAATGTATAATGTAATATGTTAAACATAATTGAAGAACTCAGTTCTTGTGTAAATTATTTTTATTGTTAATTAAATAAATAACAAGTTCTATACCACAATCGATTGATATTGAATCGAATTGAATATTCAATTAATTTAATAATTTAGCAAAATAATTGAATAATGTATTTATTTCAGTATAATAAAAACAATGATGGTTTTATTTAAGGATAATGTCTAAGAAATTCTGAATCCATGTATGCCACAGTTACCGTTATGTCATCTCTGAACAATCTTACTACTTCACTTGGTAATGTTAATATTTTTGATATTTTTACATGATCTATTCCGTATTCTGTTCCACCCAATGCATTTCTTATTAAATGCGTGGCTGCATTGGCGTCTAAGGGTTTTTTCTTTAATCCTTCCTTTCGCTGCAAAAGCATTTTATTGATATCTGATAATTTCATATTTTTTTGAGGTAATCGTAATGGACTTAAAGTTACTTTGCCACTCATATGTTCACCAACAAGTCGAACAGCTTCTAGTGGCGATATTAAATCCCATAGACCATCAGAAGCTTAAAAAATTGATTCGCATTATAATAATACACTTGCAAATAAGAATTTTATTAGAAAAAAATAAAAATTAAGTGTATCGTATGAATATGGAAATAAATATAAGTTAAATTAGTTTATTTCTTGGCCAAAAAAAATTGCATACACATAACTTACAATTAAAATAATTACCAATAATTAAAAATTTATCTTGAGGTCTTAGCTTATGATATTTTATTTCGGGTTTAGCTGTCAAATAAGGTGGGGTATAGTAGTCAGGAGGTATTACATTTTCTCCGTAAAATGGTACCACTTTCTCATTCAAAACCTCACTACTCCATTTATATCTAAAATCTCCTAATGAACGAAGTGGTGCTAATTGACCCAAAAGTCGTTCCATTTTTATTACAGTTGATCTCTCATTTGCTGGGTGTTCTGAAAAAATTCTTTCAACTTCTGCATGATTATCAGTGTTGTGCTCTACCGACATCATTTTAGCCAACCAACCATTGTTTTCTAATAAAATAAATTAAAAATATTATAATTTATTGAGGTAAAAAGTATTTATAAAAAATAAGTTTACAATTACAAAATTATTGTAATAAAAAAAGGAAGTTTATTATATGTGTAAAAGATATATTTGTATATACATATTATTAAACTTTTATTTGAGAATTCTTATCGCTTAATATTATTAAATATTTAGAAATTATTAATTTAAATTATGAATTTTTCAATAAATGATTATATTGAACCTATAATGTTACGTAAGACTAATGTAAGAATAATTTGATGTTATTTTTAAATTCACTAACAAACCTGAAGCGACTCCTAAAACTACTTGACAATCTCCTACATTAGCAACATGTAGGTGAGGTCCGTCAATATGTGCAACTGCAGCAACTGCGCCTGACATTGCTATAGAAAGAGTTCTTATTATATTTTTCCCTTTTGCATTTAATGCTTCATCTGAAATGTCATTATCAAGCCTAAGAAAAGCATTTTCTATTGCAGTTTGCACTTGAAATTCTTTTTTATAATTTGTTAATATGTACTTTATAAAATCGATGAAACTTGTTTTATAAATTTCATTTAATTCATTGATAAATTTTGTTTTATCATTAAATGTTTCAAGTAACTCTAAGTTCTTGCCAGAGATAAGAGATTCCAAAAATGTTTGTAATATATTTGAAGAAGTCAGAGATACCGCAATATAACTTAAAAGGCGTTTGCAAACTACTTGGGCACAAGCATTTCCACCATGACCATCGAATATACCAAATAAAATTCCTAAAAATTGATAATATAAAATAATAAAATCAATATCATCTATTTTTTATGATATATAATTTACTTTTTACCAACTACCATTAGTTAATAAACATTTTGCTTCTGATCTAGTATCTTCTATAGGATTATTGGAAGCTAATTGATTTGAATCATAACTTTTAATAGAATTTGAACCTTCAAATTCTTTCGTAAATTCATTCATTTTTAATATATCAGTCACCTACATATTAAAAAATGTTGTCTATTTTAAATTTACTTGTGTTCTTAATTTGTTCTTAAATTGAAAATCTTTATAATTTACTCATTTATTTATTTCATTTAAATATCAATTATTTTGAGCAAGTTTTAATAAAAAGAAAATCTACTTCCGTACCTCTTGGGGTGATAATCGTGATAGATTCGCGTAAGAACGAATATAAGTTTCATCAACATTATTCCAAATATTTTTAACCTTGAATTTATAAGAATTTTTAGCGAAATGCTTGAGAACAGAGATCCGTAATACCATCTTATTGGCGGAGAACTTAATAATATTTTTAGAGATCTAATATAAAAATCTTTTTTAAAATTTTTTCGCATTTACAAATTGCTGTCTGTAGACACTTCTCTCTTAGGTTAGAAAAGTGTTGACTTCTAACCGGTTATCGGATTTTCTAATTATTTGACATTAATGTTCATTATTAAAATCATAATGAAAATCCATTGTCATCCATGTATTTTTTTTTATCAATAAATAGATAGTATGAAATTTTTAAATGGATAAATAATACTAATCGTGTTATCCATATGCACGCGCATGCACACACACACGTACACACACGCGCACGCGCGCACGCACGCACGCACGCACGCACGCACGCACGCACGCACGCACGCACGCACGAACACCCGACTGACTCACGCAACACACGAACGTGCGCACAGTAAGTGCGACGATATAAAATTCAATAGAAAAATTCGTTATGAATGCAAATTTAGAATTTTATTGCAAGTGCGTGGCTTTGCGTGTATGAGCGCGTATGTACGCATTACAGTTCCACACTGCGAATACAAGGATTAGTAAAATGTTATAAAATAATGTATCTGTTCATTGACTTCAATAAAACATTTTAAACATTAATACGCCATTATATGTTTTATCGTTTAAATATTTTTATTTGCATTTACTTTGGAAATTACTTGTGTAATTATATTATTAAGCAATCAATCTAATTTTTCATGAAGCTTTCGATTAATGCGGCGGTACATGTGGAATTGTATTTATTTACTATTTAAATCTAAAATATTTACAAACAACTAAAATAATAAAACATAATTTTTTGTTTTAATTCCTTATTTATTTCTTTAATTAATTTAGCTTATAAATTTATTCAGATCATTAGAACATTAATTAATGTTTTAAAGAATTTTATATAATTATATAAGTAATTACAATTAAAAAATATTTCTTCAATTGCTTAGATGTAAAGGAAATTACGTTGATAAATTGAATAAAATTTGAGAAATAAGTCGAATTTAAAGAACTGTATAAAAAATGGTAATTAGAAAATTAAAATAAATGATACGGATCTAACGATCGAAACTAAAAGTCATAGCTTCACAAAAATGGTAATGGAGACATCAGCGCCTCTTGCTTGATTTCTTCGAGTTTGCCCGTTTGAATTTCAAGTTTCGTTGCGGTTGCGGCCTTGTAGAGTTGTCGAATCGATGCAACGGTTAAGTTTTGTGAGTTTATTGTCAATCGTATAGGCAGATTTAACAAAGGTTGTGAGTTTTGTTATAATTTCTCCAAGTGTTTAGAAAAACATAACCAGTTGTGAAAATTTTGTTGACACGAAAAATTTCGACATAAGGGCAAATTAATAAGACCCACTGGTAAGAATTTATTTTTATTTATTTTTTTTTTTGTCAAAGTTTTTAGTTCCAACGTTTACTATTTTAGCATCATTTTGTCATTGAAAACACAGGGCTTGGAATATAGGAGGCTCTTAGGATACTTGGAACAGCTTTTACAAATGAATGGTGGAAGCATTATTATGTACCTGAGCAATGCTTTGAAATGCCTTGAAATGTCTTTTCAAGTAGTTTATTTTTCATTTACGTACTATATTTTAGACCTATTTTTAATTACTGTTAATATTTTGTTAAATGTATTTTCAATAGTATGATCTAATTCATGTATTTTTGTCACATTGCGGTACAGTATTTTTTATTCTTAAGAGCTTGTATTATTTATTTTTTAATGTTCAATTCATAGTTTACTTTCATTCTCCTTTTTTTTTGTCACATATATTTTATTCTCTTATATTTTATTTTTGTAACATATATTATTTATTTTTTATTTTATATTTATCTATATATATTTGTGTGTGTCTGCGCCTCTGTGTGTGTGTGCATTAAATAAAATTAGCAAATTTTTTAAACATATGTATATTTATATATACATATAGTATAAAAATCTTATTAGGCATAAAAAAATATAAATTAATAAATAAACAAATAAATATATACATATATATGTATATACGCTAATCATTATTTAAAAATCAATAAATTGTTTTAATATATAAATGGTTATTTTATAAATTATTAATAATAAATTTTTATTTGAAATATTTTTTAAAGGCTAGCCTGGTAACGTAAAATAACCAGGACCTATCCAGAATTAAAATGGTATTTAACAGAAGAGATTTGACTAAGGCATTTTCGCCTAATAAAGTGAAGAAATTCAGTAATCGACACTCATCTGGACATTCAGCATGAGTTATGAAGCCAAGTACTAGTGGAAGTACAGCCACAATACGAAGTGACTCTTCACAAACAAGTATCAAAGTGATAGTTCGAGTAAGGCCTCACAATGAAAAAGAATTACAAGACAATTATAAAACGGTTGTAAAAATAATAGACGAGCGAATGCTTGTCTTTGACCCAAAAGAAGAAGAAAACCCATTTTTTTACCGAGGAGTAGTACAAAAAGGTCGTGATTTATTAAAAAAACAAAATAAAGAATTGCAATTTGTGTTTGATCGGATATTTGATACAACTGCATCTAATGTAAATGTTTATGAGGGCAGTACAAAGGAATTAATTACAAATTTATTAGATGGCTATAATTGTTCAGTATTTGCTTATGGAGCAACCGGAGCTGGTAAAACTCATACTATGCTTGGTAAAGATGGCGATCCAGGAATTACATATCGCACAATGGCTGAACTTTTTACACAAATTGATTTACAAGCAGACGCTAGAAATTTCAATCTTGGTGTTTCATATTTAGAAATTTACAATGAAAATGTTCAAGATTTGTTACATAAGGTTGGACCATTACATTTAAGAGAAGATGGTAGAGCTGGTGTTATTGTTGCAGGTTTAAAAATTATTACCATCCATAATGCAGAAGAACTGTTGTCTCTGTTGGCAAAGGGAAATAAAAATCGTACTCAACATGCTACAGATGCTAATCAAGAAAGTAGTAGGAGTCATGCTGTTTTTCAGGTGTATGTTAATATTACTAATAAAATTGATGGACAAGTGAAGCACGTCAAATTATCGATGATAGATTTGGCTGGATCTGAGAGAGCTTCGGCAACAGGATGTTCTGGTGCCAGATTTAAAGAAGGAGCAAATATAAATAAGTCTCTTTTAGCTCTTGGAAATTGTATCAATAATTTGGCTGATGGGATAAAATATATTCCTTATCGGGATTCAAAATTGACGAGACTATTAAAAGATTCTTTAGGTGGAAACTGTCAAACGGTTATGATAGCTAATATTAGTCCATCGAGTGCAAGTTTTGAAGATACATATAACACATTAAGATATGCAAATAGAGCTAAGAAAATTAAAACAAGTGTTAAGAAGAATATTGTATCTTGTCAAATGCATGTCTCTGGTTATATTAAAATGGTTGAGGATCAGAAAAAAGAGTTAGAAATACTGAAACAGAAGCTTTTGTCTTATGAAAATGTAACTCCACCTACATCTGTTACACCCCAAATATCAATAAATACCGACGAACAATCTCATGAGTTTATTGAAATTACTAATAAACTTTTAGAACTTTATAACAAAAAAAAAGTATTAAACGAAAAAGTACTATCTTTAGAAAGTTCTGACAAAATTTTATATTGTAGAATTCTATACAAAAAAGCTGCTGATAATCGATTACATAATTTAACGGCTGCTGTAGAAGCTACAGCTCAAGAAGAAAAAAATGCCAGTGGTAAATCTCGTGTAAATAAATCGTTGCAATATTTTAAGCGACAGAGAGAAGGAATTAAAATACAAATGAAATCTGCTTGGGATGACCTTTGTCAAATAGAAGAAAGTCTTGTAGAATTAATTTTAGATATTAAATCTAAAAACTTACACAGTAGGCTTGAGGATAAAATTAGTTTTTTAACTTCGGAAGTTGATACAGTGAGGATGCAACAACAATTTGAACATGCAAAAAAAATTAATAGTCTTCAACAATGCGAAATGCAATCTGTATCCACAATGATTAAAATGATGAGTTCTACGTTACAAAATTATTACAATATGATGCGAGGCGGTGGTACAATAACAGAAAAATTAAAACAAGAATTTAAACAATTAGTAAAATCTTTAGAAGGAATTAGAAATATTAAGTGGTCTGATTTAAATACGAATAAACAAGAGGAAGATTTTTATAGCACAACATGCTTAAGTATTCAAGAGCTTGAAAATCCTTCTAGTAGTAACATGCCAGATCTATTAGAATTTAATTCGGATGATGAGGAACCTTTGAATCAATCACCTAAAAATTTACTCAGTACAACATTCAGTTGTACTCCGGTTAAAAATATTGTATCAACAACAGACGAGATACTAAATTCTACTATAACTATTAGTAATGATAATGTATCAGTAGCGGATGATGAGAACGCTGTTATTGATTCGACCAAACTTAATAGCACTTTCTGTTTACCAGACAATAAAAGTAGGAAGAGAGTATTATCAGACAGTAAAAATCAAGTAAACTCTAGATCACCAGCCAAACAAGCTAAAAAGATCTCGCCGAAAAATAGATTTGAAACGAATGGAATAGCACAAAATGGGAAAGAGAATAATAAAGAATTCCCGAAACCTACAATGACCGCAAAAAGTATTGCTATTTTAAATAAATTGAAAGCTGATAGGATGAAACCTTTGATTACTGTAGCTTATAATGGCGATCAGTCAGACGCAATGTTAAAGGCAGTAAGAGGAAAGGAAAGGAGAGGATTAGTTTCTTCTCATCCATATCAAAAATCCACTATTCAAAAACAACAACAAAAGTAATTATCCAAAGTCCAATTTATAAATAAAATTTGTATGAAAATTAGGCACTTATGTAATACTTTTTTTTATACATTTTACGTTTTATAATTCTGATTAAATGAAATTAATTAAATTAATTACACATTCATTCATTTCATTTCATATCGTCTAATTATCTTAACACATAAATAAATTAATCATTAATATTAATTTGAAATTAAATTTGATTCTAGACCAACATCGGTTTTGCCGTCATCTCGAGTACCATGGTAGTAAAATTATTAAAAATAAATATAATTGAGATATATCTTAAAGCTGTACAGAGTAAAATGTATATATATATATATATTTAACGTATTTCGATCCAGTGTTGAATCAAATAGTACGAAGAAAAATATAATGTGTAATAGATGTTTCCATGATCTAGTTTTTAAAATCGTATGTAACAGACAATCAATACGTTCATTAATATAGTAAATTTCATTGTAAAGCAAAAATCCACTAGACTTAAAAAATATTTTACAAACTATTATCAAAAATAAAATTATAACAAAAGAGTAATTTTATTCTTATTGAATTTTTTCTGAACAAATATTTATTTTAACGACTTTTTATAAATGTATTTTTTACATGATTCTTCAACTAAAATATTTGCAGAAATTAAGTTACAAAAAGTCATTCATCTATACCTATACTGTCATTATTGACTCGACTGCATTCTTTTAAAAAATAAGATGTTAATTTATAATATTTAGTAATAAGCTATTTGTGTTAAATTTCGTATTTGATAATCACGGATGATAATTATATTAGTTTTTAATGATAATTCACATATTTTATTATCAAGCAAATTTATTTATACCTAATAATTTTATACGTACAAAATGTAAGTCATCATAATAATATAAAAATATGATATTGTAATATTTCGAAAGAATAATAAATATTTATGTAAAATTTATATTCCAGTTTTCCATTAGTACACAGCTTAAAAAAAAAAAAAAATCTTAAAATATATTTTTTTTCTTCATTTACCTTCGTCACTTAATATTAATTATTACCGAGACTAGCCTGAAAATAAAAAAAAAAAAAAATATATATATATATATAATAAAATAATGTTAAAACTTAAATTTTTACTTTATTCGTTCCAACAAAAATAATTGCGTACATAGTCCTTCAAAGCACGCAAAACTATTTTTTCCACATCGGCAACTCGTTCTTCATATTCGTAATTGGCTTGTCTGCTATTGATTATCGTAGGTATTAAAGATCTTGTTCGATCAAATAGTGCAGCAAATGATTGCAAGAGAAATGCTAAAAATGCTAGAGAAGCTAATACACTGATTGGATCGAAGGCCCTATAATAGAAATTTAATTATTGGTAAGATATTTATTAATTATATGGGAAATTAAAATATATACGTTTAAAATACGATAATGTTTCGATACTCTAAGTAATCGAATAATTTTGTATCGCTAATTTTCTGTTACCATACACTAATATGGTAAAAATTAAATTAAACATTGGCATGAAATTTAGTATAATGTTAATACATTTATTATGTAACAAAATGTAATGGTAATATTTAAGTAATTGAAATTTTAACATTTAAATTACACGATTTATAAATTAAAACATGAAAATTTTCACTCGAGTTTAATGTCTTGTACTTTTGATAAATAATTTCAGAGTATAAAAAAGATTTTCAAATATTCATCGCAGCTTGAAAAAATTATTATTATATTATTTTTTTTTCTTAATATTTTATTTATTCTTTATATTAATTAAATATAATTTACGAAAAGCTTAATAAATTAATTCCGTTATTATAATAAGTATTTTTTGATTATTTGTTTATTAACATTTCGCACTTGGAAAGAAATTATTTATTTTTCAATGAACATGGTAAACGTTACGTTATACAAATATTGTAAATAAAACAATTTTTGCTTACTGAATGAAAGGTGCAGTTGGTACACTATTATAATAATTTCTAGGTTGATCGAACCTTCGATTGAACGAATCTTTCGGATTTCCAATGATTGTATTGTTCACTACTGCCAATTGCGAGTCAACTTTACGTTTGTTAAGAAAGTCAGAAAATATTACGTTCTGGTTTGAAATAAAATTTGGCCCATTAGTTGTATTAGTCGAAACAAAGTCCAGTGGCTCCGACACCCCAAGTGCTCCACTACACCATATCATTAGCAGAATCGCCGTGTCCAGTATTTTCTCCTAAATTTTCATGTACTTTTTGAAATATGCTTCTGTATTTTTCAATGACTTGGCTTAATTTTTTTTTATTTAAAGAAAAAAAAAAAATTATTATTTACATACCAAAAGATTATGCATCGTGCTTTAATACATAATGAAACTATTATTAACGAAAATGGCAGTGTGCCTAGCAAATTTATATAAATTATTGCATGCAGAAATATAATTATCTTAATGCTCTACTTACCCGTTACGGTTATTTAAATTCAAAATCACTATACTTTCTTCTGATTAGAAAATGATATAACCATTTATACCGCAATTACCCCTTAATACAGTAATTTAAGATATTAAATATTTACAAATCACTAAACTTAATTGTAATGTACAGAATTGTAAGGACACTGACGAAAACAATTGATAGAAAATTCATTTTTCTAAACAATTTATTGTTACAATTTTAACATTAATGGAAATGAAAAATAATTTTAACGAATACAATTGATAGATTGATAGAAAATTCTTTTTTCTAATAAAATATAATTTTAATTATTTTATTTATTAATTTTCTTTTATTTTGTTTATACTTATTTTTATTTTTTATCTATCCATTATCCATCGATTATCAATTTTTCTAGTATTTAAGAGTACTTGAAAGTACGTTATTTTCGAAAATAATTTACTTTTTCAAATTCGAATACAGACGCAAATAAGAAACAGTAATCATTTAACAGTTTGTAAATTTCAACAAATTTATTCACTTTCCGTTGAATGATTTTTCTCAGGTTTAAAAAACATTAATTTTTTAACAACTTGCTTATATTTATTAATAGAATGTTCATCCTCGCCGTTATTTATTAGCTCTGAGACAGCAACTTTATACTCTTCGGCATGTGGTATATGAGCATAATTAAAGTCTTGTGGTATTTCAGGCCAAGCATATATTGTTACTAAATTCTTTTTACTTTGGTTCTTTTCCCAATCGTAATACTCCATATCAGCTAGTGCCTTTTCATTTTCCCAATCTTCTTTTCGCTAAACATATAAAAATATAATTTCGTTTCATGGAGATATATAATTTTTAATTATTCATGCATGTAGTCGATGGGACGGTGATCGCTTAAATTTGCAACATCATTTCTGTTTAGATAAAATTTTTTATTTTATGAGTATTAATTATTTTAAAATCTGATGTATTTATTACTTTTAGGAATATAAATGCAGAGAAATAGAAAATTGTATAATTTATATAGAATATGTTTCATCGAACTCATTTAATCAAATAATAAGTAGACAACGAGGAGATAGTTCAAATTAGAAGAATAAATAAAGCAATATTAAAATATACATAGGCCTATTATTGAATAGAAATATTGCTAAATAAAATGTTAGTTAAACGAATACTTTTATTTGCTCTAATCAATTTAAATCAATTTTAAAATAGTATGTTAATTTGTTCAATTTCATATTGAATCAAAATTTGACTCTATTTAAGTTTGTAGTTTATATATATAATGTTTTGAACAAAATAAAGTTTTATTCAACATTATACAATTATATAAAAATTAATTCAATCATACAAAAAACTTTTATTTCAAATAGAAAGTTTATCTCATACACATGATCATTAAATATCTTTTTCTTATGCATAAAAAATAATAAAATATCTTAAAAAAAATTATTTTATAAAGTATTGATATTTACATTATTACAACAGATAAAGTAAAACAATGTATATTTGAAACAATACGAGAATCACTATATAATTGTTTATACAATTTTTAATATTAGACTAATTTTAATAATAAAAAATAATGAAAATGATGCTGATGGTATGAAAAATAATTATTTATTACAAAATACATACCCAAGATTCATGATATAAAGCAATTAGTAAATATGTAGCATAGTCATAGTTTTGCTTCCGCATAGGACAGCGATCGGTAATAATTGTTATGATATCACTTGTATAATCATATCTATTTCCTGCTAATCGTAATATTTTATCTTTTGCATGATAATCAAGTTTTAGACTAGATAATTTAACTTTAAATGTAATAATCCTCGAAAGTGGATCTCTAATCGATGGTCCTGAATAACAATAATCAGAATACAAAACTTCTAGAGGAAAATGTTCGGTACATTTTGCATCAGAATCAAGTTCTTTTGGCCATTCTGTACAAAATTGTTTTAGGGCTTCACAATGTCTTTTGATAGCAGGAGGAGTCAAATGTAAGAAATTTGGTATTTTCATCAATTCTGTATTTGCAATTTTTGAAAACGGCCCTTCACCTGGCTTAGGATATCCTTGTCGAACAGGAAGGGGAACCGAATGTGGCTGAAATGTTTTTTGACTCGGCCAAACTGTTGGCCAGTCTTGATCAACAGGCATTTTTTGTTCTCTTCCGGTAAATATTGGAATGGACTTTTGATATTTTACAGTTTTTTTAATTTTTGTTGGAAATAATTCTAATATTCGAAAGCCATCTAAAATATATTAATTAATATTAAATTTTTTATTTTAACATAATACATTATAGAAATTTTTTCTTATAAGAAACAATTTTATAACTGTTATATGATTGTTTAATAGCTTATAAAGTAAAATTAAATATATGCAATTTAAATGATTAAAATTCCTTTAATTCATTTAATTATTATTGCTTAATCGGAAATTTTAGTTTTTAAAATATAATAAGATTATATTTTTTATTTTATATCATCGTTTAAGAAGAAGCAACTTAATTCTTACCTTTATCTACTTCATTGACAAATGTATTAGGAACTTTTGCTTTGATCGAACGTAACGGGATAAAGTTAACTATTTTTGGTTTAAAAAAATATGTTTTACTATACATAAACATTGACATTTTTTCTTCTTTGATAAAACTTTGGATTTAGGAATACATAACCTCAAATAGATTCGTGAAATTTTATATCTTTATTATTACTTTAATGATGCCGTATGAAAACATTGGCCGTTTAACTTTGATCTTAAGATCAAAGAATCTTTACAAAAAAATCGATTTTTAACTAATGATTTTATCTGAAATTTTATGTATATTAGAATAAAGGTTGCGGTAAGGTAAATTCAAAAATATTTTTGTGTATATAACTAGTTTTCAAAAATGTGAACAATTTTTTTCTTATAATGCGTTTTCGAATGTCGGTATGTATAGTTTTTTTTTTTTTAAAACTACTAAAGCGGTTTTTCTAAAATTTTACCCACTCATTTAATCTACAAAAATCAAATTTTTTAATCTTATTTCGATATAAAATTTTAATTTTTTCAGTAAAAAAATTATGAAATCTTCAATTTTGCATAATCAACATTTTCTTAAAATATTCAGATTTCATAAATTCGAATTATTTCATGAAAACTGTATGAGTGAAATATTAATGTTTTTAATCTTTTCGACGGCTAGAATATAAATAATTTAGCAATACTTTCAAAGTATCGCGGAATAAATAATCTGTGTATTGTTTTTTAGAATAAAAATTACCGTCTTTTTAGATAAAACTTTCAAAAAATTAACTGGTCACTTAACATTATTGTGCATTACTTCATCGGTTTCCATTGTTAATTCGTATCAAATTAGAATGCAGTAATCCAAACCAATAGTTTTTACTTTTTCTTCTCTATTTGTATTTTTTTTACTTTTACTTACTAATACGCTCAGAAATCCTATCAGAAATATTTATATATAATTGTTTAATATTAGAATACAAATAAATTAAATGTAATACATTTTTTAATTTAACAACGACATATTTCTGTGTAATAAAATTTCAATTAAAACAAGTAAATACCATTATCACCGTTAAAAGAAAGTTAAAAAGAATCTGTGTTTTCGCAGGACTATGCTTTGATGACGTAATGAGCATCTTCCGTTTATTAACTCTTGTCTAAGAGTTTTTCGTCGAGAGACTATATTAGTAATTATTGGATTTGATATTTGAACCGGAGTTGTGTTATTGTTCCTTCAAACGTAATGACCCAATTTCCACAGAAGTTGATATGCGTTATAATTGGAGAACCTCTTCTGGGGAACGATTCTATCACCCAGAGGGTCAACATATATCTCAGTTTCATATTGTCGTTCTTCTTGAAAATCTCCAAGTATCCGACTCTGGCTGCATTAATTATTAATCGCTTTATTATCGCAATATAAATTACAATGGTGATTAGAAATTCTGCATTATATATCTGAAAATTATGTACGAATTTACATTCTTGGAGGAAATTTTAGGAGATCTATAAAACTTTGCAATTCACTGCTGAGAAGTTAGCCGTGTGCTTTATTTTTTAAAGAACATCTGTAAATATAACCACGAGTTTACATACTAAAGCTGGTTCGTTTTGGTAAAGTGCTCATTCGAAGAAGAAAAAAATTAATTTTACATTAGTCGTTCATCCTTTCGACGTGATTACGTGGTTTTAGGCAATTTGTGCCAATTTAGGTATAGACCATCACCTTCGAGAATGCCTGCCTGTTTAATTTAATCGATAAATTCGATCATCAAATTTTCATTATCGCTACCTGCGACACTACAACCATGCCAAACCATATGCAATCTAGAAGCAGTTCACCATACTGCCGTTAAAGTTACTTATGGTGTTAGACATTGATATATCAAACGTTGCCGCGTGCTACGTAACACTTCTGAAGACGATTGTGGTAAAAAGTTCTAAACCAGCTCCGGTAATGCTTTTTGAATTGTCTGACTCTGGACGACTGCAATCGGGAGATTTGATTTTCTTGATAATGGTATTATGATCATCAACTAAAAATAACTTGCTTTTGACTGTATTATTATTATTATTATTATTATTATTATTGTTGTTGTTGTTGTTGTTGTTGTTATTATTATTATTAATATTATTATTAGTAGTATTAATAGTAGTAGTTAAAAGTCGTAACAATTTGCATCAAACGAATGATAAATTGTTGCATAAATAGTGAAAAAGCTCTTTTAAGTTCGAATTCCTGCACTTCGATTCCATTCGTTTCTGATATTTAGTCATATCTGTTTTCAAGCAGACTGCAGAAATGAAATTTTGAACGATTATGTTTGTTGTTATCTATATAGGAAAGAAAAGAAAATTATATCTGCTATAGAGTTTAGAAATATTAAGAGAACAATAGTAGGTCGCTGTGCATATTTTGGGTATGATTGCAACGATAGTTTATTTTTAAACGATGACGACGTCTCGATTCCACTTTGTTGCCATTTCCCTGTACATTTAACAGTTATGGCGTCTCCACGGCCCAAATCTCCTCGTCCAGCTCCGATTTCTGCTAAAAAAGAGGAAAAAGAAGAGAGCTTCTGGGATAAAATTGGTACTTTAGGACGTAAAAAGCGCATAAAGGAAGGTATGACTTACATTTATAATTGATACGAGAGAATTTATAATAAATACAATAGAAATAATAGGAAATAAATCGTTTATTGTGAGTGTTTGTGATCAAGTACATTGGCCTTATAAGGTTCGAAATATCGATAGTTAATAATTAGGGCTTTTAATTTGTTAATCTGTCTGACCATGTGTACTTAATACTTCATTGAAATTTATAATACAAATGTTTAGATGATTTTTACTTGTCAGTGTATAATTGTATTTATCAATATTGACTAAATGTGGAAATGCAGACGCACGTACGTAAATGTATAGGCGTATGAAATAAAATGTTTTATGGGTATTTCTTTTAATTTTTAAAAATAATAATGTAATTTACAATTCTATTCAGAATAAATGTATTAACTTCATCATTGATTTCAATTATACAATAAACGAATAGATCGTACGTTAAATTTATATGAGCAACAAATTCTTTAATTCATTAATTATGGAAAGTTGTATTTAATTCACATATCTTTGAAGGCAATATTATTATAACCAATAAGACTTTTTAAATATATTGTAATATAAAAATCGTTACTATCCTACATTTAAACTTTGCAATTTATAAATTTTTAGTTCAAGAAGTTCAAGAAGAAGGCAAACATGCAATTGAGTCGCCAGGATTTGCGGCTATGGTAGATATGCCACCCGAAGACTATGCTTTAGATGAAAATGAAGAGCGATCTATGATAGCACCTAGAAGTTTAGAAGAACCTAAAGTACAAGAGTTAATTCATGTATTAATTGAGTGGATAAACGATGAATTGGCTAATCAGCGTATTATAGTTAAAGATATTACAGAAGACCTTTACGATGGCCAAGTACTTCAGAAATTACTTGGTAATTAACAATAAATATTTTTAGTTTCATATTAAATTGTATTAATCGTATATAAAATATCTGAAAGTATTACCGTCTTAAAATGCTGTATAGGTATTTTTTTTTTTTTTAGTTTAAAAAATATGATACTTACTGTACAGACTATATTGAAGTAGTTTATATCGCTGTGCGACAATACGTTATTGTAATATTGTAATAAATAATATCAAAAAGTATAAGATATCACATTTTCAATTCTGTGATATGGAATATTTAATTAAATATATTATTACATAGGCATTAAGGTTATTTCAACATTAAACGAATAATACTATTGTTCCCAGAAAAATTAACAGGAAAAAAGCTTGATGTTCCTGAAGTGACGCAATCCGAGGAAGGACAAAGACAAAAACTTGCTGTTGTACTAAATACAGCCAACAGAGTTCTAGGATGTTATCCTCCTTATAAATGGAGTGTTGAGTCGGTACATTCTAGAAACATTGTATCAATTTTCCATTTGTTAGTCAGTTTGGTACGTTTATTTCGAGCACCAGTTAGATTACCAGAATTAGTATCCGTTCAAGTTGTTGTAGTAACAAAGAAAGATGGTCAATTAATACATAAAATCATAAAAGAAGAAATCACGTCGACGTACGATGACTTGGGAATGCGTTGTGAACGAGATGCCTTTGATGCTCTATTTGATTACGCACCAGAAAAACTAGCAGTAGTAAAAAATGTAAATAAATTTTATAAATCAGAAGATAACGTTATTCTATAAATAAAATTTTTTAAGAATAAATTTCATATGAATTTCAGTCGCTGGTGACATTTGTCAATAAGCATTTAAGTAAGGTACATTTAGAAGTATCGGATCTTGATAATCAATTCCACGATGGTGTCTTTCTCACTTTATTATTGGGTCTTCTCGAAGGATTTTTTGTACCATTGGGTAGCTTTCATTTGACCCCAAAAACTCACGAACAAAAAGTACATAACGTATCATTTGCCTTTGAGTTAATGCAAGATGTTGGCCTACCAAAACCAAAAGCTCGACCAGAAGGTATTTATCATTTAATCATTTAATACAACATTACCAACATTTAATACAACAATATTACCATGCAATTATTTACTTTTAATTTTTCTTACAGATATTGTCAATTTGGATTTAAAATCAACATTGCGTGTACTTTATAATTTATTTTCAAAATATAAAGGCATAAATTAGTAAGAATCTATGTACGAAGCATCAATCATTTAGTTTAATTAATTTGGTAATTCTCTATCAATAAAATAATAACTTATACAATTATTCAAAACATTGTCAATGAAACTAAAAGTTCTTATCGTAGATGTATTTATAAATATATATGTATTTTATATTTTACTAACCAAAGATATTTTAAAGATTAACTGTCAATTTATAAAAAATATAATTTATTTAGGATAAATCGTATACAATAGAACGTGCCTTATTATAAATTAAGATAAATTAATGTCAATATTGTAATTAGTTTTATATGCTACTTAAAATTATCATTGTAAAAAATTTTTAAATGTTAAATAATACTTATAATTATTAAAAAGTTCAATATTTTAAAGTTTTTAATTTCCCTAGTTTACTACTTTTAGATTTTTAGTTTTAAAAAAAAAGATTTTTCAAATGAAATTGTCGATTTTTATTATACTTCATATTTGTATAAATATGCAGATAAAATAAAATTTCCCTATTTCATTTATTGTAATAATTTTAATAAAAATTATCAATTTCTTTTATTGTAAATATGATATTTTATTTTATTTTTCATTTATACCTTTTACAAATAACTTTTATAAATCAAAATCATTTTACTTCGAATAATTATATTTGATGAATAAAAACTTCAAATTGAAAATTTATTTAAATTTTGCGTCAATAAATTACACTGTTAAAGTATATTTTTCAGGATTTTTTTTTTTTTTTTTTTTTTTATTAACTATTCGTAATCCTTTATAATTGACTATTATTTTAATCCTTATAAAATAATTGTAATCGATGTTCATAGTTATTTCATCGAAAATAATGTAATATTAAACATATAATTCGCACTTGAATCACATAATTATCATATTATCTAATTTTTAGAAAAACTTAATCACTTGCAATCGAAATTCTCTAATTAAAATGAATTATGTACCCAACTTGTACATAAATATATAACATTTTAATTTTTATCATGAATGCTCTCAACATACTTACACAAACAATTTTTATGTCTTTAAATTATAAATTCAATTAATATTGAACATTAATAAATAGATTTCAAATAAAGTTGATTTTGTATTTAAACGTTGCATATCAGTATTAAAACTGAAATGCGCCCCCATAGATAAGAGCACATGAAGTACTAATGCACCTGTCGAATGAACAAAGCCTTACACGCACACCAATAAGGCCCGCTCAATTAATAAATCATGCGAATGCACTATCACAGTTAGTGGGAAAATTGTTTCATTATATTTTCGCTAGATCGATCGATCGATTTTGCGATCACCAAACTGTAGTTGCAGCATTATCCCGTTCTATTAAAATTTTTACCGAAGAAATTGGATATGCACAGAGAATACTGTAATCATAAGTGAATTTTGCCATACGGGCCATTCTATCGCTATTTCAATCGCTAATTTTATATAATTTTTGAAAGCAAATTGTTGGTTCCAATATATCTTGTATATCAGTAGCATTTTTTTAGTGAAATATTGTAACATTATTGATAGTTAGTTTTTTGGACATTTAATACCGAGTTTATTAATAATTTATTTTAATCAACTATATTTGTGTGTTTATTTTTTGCTTATTTATAAGAAAAATATCTAATAATTATTTATATTTTGTTTGTTTATTGATACGATTTATTGGTACGATGTATAATTAGACGTATGTTAATGGAAAAAAAAAAAACTGAATATTTTATCCCACTTCATACTTTACAATTTACGCAATTATTTTAAATGAAATTATTTAACTTAAATATGGTTTTTCAACATTTATAATATATTTATAATAGATTTTATTCGTTATATCCGAATGTAACAAATTTTTCTATATCCAACGATTCAATTTAGAATTCATGTTTTTGCCAAATTTCTTTATTAAATATCAATTCTTAAATGTTTTATTACTACGTAATACTTTTTGGCCTGATATAAATAATTCGTACCGTACAATTATCAATGACTTCAAAAGCCCCTTTGTGCCATGCTTTTATTTAATGATTGTCTATCTTGCTATCAATATATTACTTCGATAAGTTGTAGCGGATTTGTCTGTCCACCTTTCCACGCCCTAAGCATCAAAAGGTAAAAGTTCGTGAAATATATTAGGAAAATTGTTTTCCAACTTTATAAATGTTTATAAACGGATATAATCAGTTGCATATTATTTTATACGCAAATTTTTGTATTCATTCCTCATCGTATGTAGTCATAAAGTACAAAAAAGCTTCTCTATTTTTTAAAAAGAAATATGTCATAATTTATATTAATTTTAATATTGTAAAGTTGTTTTATATTTCAACATTATTAACTAAATTGAAAATTATAGTTTCATTATATCTCTAATTTAATATATTAAAAAAAGAATTTTAATTGTTTTACATTATTCGATAGCATTATTCTGCATTATTCTGATAGATCTTCTAATTTTAATGAAATATATCGAGTCGTGCACTATCGATGAGTCCGCCAATGAACAAAAGCTGTTGTATACTATATATATATATATATATATATATATATATTAATTTGTTAATTTGTTAATTTTCAACGATCAACAATTATATCGAGTTTAAAATTTAAATCAATAATATATAACAAGAAATGTAGCATTGAGTTAATTTCCTTATTTTCATTCATTTTATCAATAAAAATATTGTATATATATATATATATATCAAGTTGTTTCATACCTCATTTAAATGAAAAAATTGCTTATAAATACTAATTTTTTGATGATTTTTTTTTTCTTTCTTTTGATTAATTATTGTAAATTAATACAAATACAAGAAAATAAATATAATGATATTAAATGAACTATACAATCATTCTTACTTTCAATTCTATATTTTCATACTTAATAATTTAAAAAGTTAATTCCACGTATTAAAGAGTAATAAAAATTGATGGAGAAAAAGATTTTTAAAGAAAATTTTAATGAAAATGTTTAAATCTTTATTTTCTATTTAATGAAATATAATATAAAGAATACTTTTATTAAAAGTATTTTTACAGAAGTATAACTAGACTTTTTTAATATAAATTATACATTTTAAAAGCAAAATTAATTAATTATAATTATTTTATTAGTAACATAACGTATCTATTATTACTAGGACATTTATTATAAAATTAATATAAAAATATACGTTTTCAAATAATGATTTATTAATAGTTATTATATTTTGTATTAAATATATAAAATTTATAAAATTAATAATTTTTTTATTTGGTATGTTTTTATATTAAATTAATTAAATTGTGTATTTTCTTTATTAAAAAGAATAGAATATTTTCCTAAAATTTTATTGTAAAATTAAAATACTTTTTCCTTCAAATTTTAGAATGAGTTATGAAGAAATGAATATTAAATGTCACACATTTATTTAAGATTATTTATATTCTTAAGAATAAATTATAATTATTATTATGTTTTATATATAAAAAAAAAAACAAATTATTATTGATTTTTTATATTTCATATATATTTAAATGTTTACAACATTTAATTAATCAATAGTTAATATTTATTATTATTCTTCATAATCATTAGTTCTTCAGTCGTTAATTGAAATTTAAACTGATGAATAATATGACCGTTTATTTATTTGAAATCTGTGATTAAAACATTTGTAAATGGTACTTGAAAATGATAATTTTTAAGTTATAAAAATTTCAAAAGATGTTATAAAATATAAAATCTTACGCCATAGTAAATTTAGTAAAAAAAAAATCATTTAAATCTCTAATTTTTTTCATACCCACGTTTATTTTTATATTGAAAAAATACAAATCGAATAAATTCTATTAAAATATAATGAATTAAAATATAAAATTTATCACTATTAGATAGAATCATTGAATATTTATTAACAATTAGATTATATAGCTTAACTACTTATGACTTTTTTCACTATGAAATTACTAAGCTGTAGGATTTCTTCTACCACACTCATTGATTTCAATTTCTTTAACTATACTTCAAAAAGTCGAAGTGAACGGCAAATTAAAGATTCATGAAATGACAAGCAATCCTAAGAATTTGAAAGTTTATCATAAGATGATTTCATCGATTCACTTAACTCATTGCAGTTATCGCGTATACATCTTATAGTTAGAAAGTGCATTTATTGAAACGACACAATGGAAGAAAAATTGAAGAAATACAAGAAATATCAATGTTACATTAAATATTTGCTCGTATGTTCGGGCTTGTGGCCGAATTCTAAAAAATATCCAAATGCATTTAGAATATTTTTGAGTATGTGCGTTGGCTTTTCGGCCATTTTCATATCTTTCGGGACATTATTATTCTGCCTAAATAATGCAACAAATATCAATCGCCTAACAAGCGGCTTAGGACCTTTTATGAGCTTCTTTACGGTTACTGTAAAGGTAATATAAACAGTTTATACAGTGCATAAATAATAATTACAATTTTTATTATAAGTACACGAGAATATAAATATCAATTATCGCCATTCCATAGGTAAGACGTTTAATAGTGTTCAGTTTCAATATTTAAGCAACTGCAATCTATCATTGAATTTCAATGAAATTCAATATATCAATATCTATTTTTTATATTTACTATTTTAACTATATATATATATATATATATATATATATATATATATATATGTTTTTACAATTTAATTACACCAAATATTATTTGTTATGCTAGAGAGACTAGCACACACTTTTAACATTCGTATTGTAAAATATCTGAGACGTTAAAAATCTCATTTATAAGCATTTAATAATTTTTTATATCGCTTGAATAATAATTAATTATAAAATAGATTACATATATCTTAATTAAGAAAAACTTATTTATTATACATATATTTACATATTTCTTAATTAGAACAATTGAAAAAAAAATGTTTATATATATGACAATTGGTTTATTATTTCATTGTTGTTTTTAAAATATAAAATTAGAATTAGAATCTACTCTGTTGTACGGGTATTTTAATGTTTTATTTATGAAATATTTTAAAGCTTAATGTAATTATTTCATAGATTTCCAATAAATTGGATTAAAATTAATATTACAATATAAATTTTGATTTATTAAATGAACCATTGTAAAATCTTTGTAATATAATAAAAGAAAAGTGCAATAAATATTTATATATTGAAACGTGTTCTATTTTATAGTTAATTTCACAATAAATGTTATCGACACCTATTTATATAACATTATAAAATTATTAATGATATAATTATTAATCGATACTTTACAAGAAGACTTGGTAATTATGCATTTATTTATCTTAAATAAATTTGAATTACAAAGAAAATTAAATATTAAATTATTAAGTAGGTGATATTCCTGTCATTACATCAGAGAGATCTACAAAGTCTTAACGAAGGCTTGTCGAAATATTTTGCTCGTGATTTGGAAATTCCCGAATTTCGGCTTCATTTATTGGCGCATTTACCGACTTTCTCCATGTTCTTTTACATCTTTAATTACTCTGTCTTGATGAATGTAGTTTTATATGCTCTTGTTCCATTGTCGTTGATTAGCCATGGCAAATATGTGAGGATGTATCCACAAGTTATGCCCTTCAGTTATGAATTAGGTGCAGATTTTATATTTATTGTACTTATTTATCTTAAGTGCACTAAAAATGATAATTAATTTTTGTTGAGCAAATAAACGTTTTAGTACAATATTTTTATATTTGTGATATACTTGAAATAAATATAATTTTATTTCACCCTATCATAACACTTACATTAATAATAATAAGCTAAAAATAAATATTTATTAATTAATTTAATAATTTATGAGTACAAATCAACTTCAAAATTATATTATCGATCTTGCATACATTTTCACTATTTTTTTTTTTTTTTTTGTTTTTTTTTTTTTTTTTTTAAAGAAAAGTAACAGTTAAAATTCATAAAAAAAGTCCAAATAATCAAAATAATAAATGAAAACTTTATGAAAATGCCAAATCTATAATAAAGATTAACTTAGTACGATGTAGTGTTTTGATTAAACAATATAGATCGAATGATTAGTTGTGGTTGTAGTTGACAAAAACAAATACGTATTTAATAATAGATAATTTTAATCTTATTTTAATTACTGAAACTTCGATCTATTTGAATTTAATAATTGGTATAAATATAAACTTCTGAACTTATGAATAATCAGTAAGATTTTTAATAAAACATATATTTATGAAGCTATCAAAATGTATATTTTGAAAGGATTTTCATTAAAATGATAATTTATTTTAATTACAAAAAATTATTGCAATTAAAATTTGTATTATTTACATTTAATACAATTTCATACAAAATAGTATTTTATTTAAAATTCTTTGATCGCTAAAATAAAAAAATTCTCTTAGCATAAATTAACATTACATTTACTTTTACTTTTTTTCAAGTAATTTTTTTTAAACGTAATACATGATTTAATTTTTGTTGGCTAAACTATTTAGAAATTTGCTTCGTTGACTAAATTTACTTCTAAATTTAATTAAATCAACGTCATTTTCATATTGATCGAGATAATTAAATATGAATTTTCGATTTATATTAAAAAATAAATAATATTGTAAATTATATAATTATAAATATAATTTTAATTAAAAAACAAAATACAAGACATCATAAATTATATATAATTGTAAATTGTAATATTTATGAATTAAATAATTATTCAAAAACATTGTAAATTTACCATAATAAATATGATTATAAACATTCATTTAAGTTTAATACAAAGCTACGAATTTATCATTAAATCGCGTTTAATTTCATAACTCGCATAATTATTAAATATTTATAAACGTTTGTTAATAAAATTTGGTTAACTGTAATAGGTGGACTAGTTCATTGGCTAATTTACGTATTCGAAGTGATTTCTGGTTTTTTTCTCTGGTGCTCAACTTCTGGCGGGGACTCAGTTTTTGGAATGTATTCCTTGCACATTGTCGGGGAATTGAAGTTACTATCTCATCGCTTCAAAAATCTAAAATTTAGTAACAATTATAAATGTGAATTGAAATACTGTATCGACAGACACATTGAATTGATGAAAGCTAAGCAAACACTGGAGCGAATTTTTGGTTTTCTGGCAATTCACCTATCAATTTCATGTGCCTTTGTTCTATGTGCTCTTATCTTCCAAGCTACCGAGGTATGTATCAATGTTATTTATAATATCAGTTGTAAGACCACATTGTACGTTTATATCTCACGTTCTTACTTTAAAAGAAATTTAATATTTTTAAATCAACTATCATATAATACATCACAAGATGCATTACCAAGTTTAAAAAGTAATTTGAAAATTTTAATGTTGCTTCTAAAACGTTTCTCTTTTTTTTTCTGTAAAATTGTAAAATCTCTGAAATTCAATATCTGATGATGGTATAAATTTTTTTTATAAAAATTTTAAAACTCGAAGAGAATAATTCATTAAATTATATTCAATATAGACCAAACACTTCACCGTTTTGAAAGTTTGCTACTTAATTTGCTACAGCTTCTTGAAGCTAGTGCAAGCTTATTCATATGCCTGGTTTGGAAATATTATTTATGTCGAAGTAAGTACTTAGAACATAAAATACCTTATATGGAAAATAAAGTTATAAACGAGTTTTAATTAATTTTTCATAAACGTAATACTTATTACATTCATTACATTACGATCAACCTCGATATATCAATTTCCAAAGTATTTGCTAATACGAAAACTGTTTTATTCTAACATAATTTCTTATAATAAACGTGGCATTCAATTCTTTAATCATTTTCTTTTAAGAAACAAGAAGTTTAATCGTCTAAGGTCTTGTTTCATCAATTATTACAATTATTTCAGTAACCGCAATTAATTTTTATTTTTATTTTATATACTTAAAGGCATTTCTAATCCCATACATATAACAAAAGCTTATCTTTTATTTCGCCTATTCTTAGTTTTTGTAATGAAACTATATAGGAAACGTAATTTGAAATAGAAGCATTAATTCCTTCTTATTGAAATAATTAGAGTCAAATTTGTTTGGATTCGATATACAACGCATACTGGACGGATTCGGGTAGTGTCGAATTTATGAACGATGTACTTATTATTTTGTCCCAAAAGCCATTACGATTCAATGCTAAAGGCGTCATGATATTGGAGTTGAATGTTTTCTCTAAGGTAAATTAAAATTCTTTAATTGAAATTCGAAATATTATTATTTCTTTATATTAATTATATACTTCATATTATTTTAATAATCAATTTGAAAAATTTTTTTAACTCTAGATAGTAAATACTTCTGTATCATACTTTTTCTTGCTGCGAACTTTAGAAGAAACACTTAACGTGACTTCTTCATAAGTGTTTTACATATCTTTATTTTAATAATATATTTTTCAATCTGTATTATTGTTGTAATTACAAATAAAGAAGAATAATTTTATTAAATATATTATAAATATAATTATTGTTGTAATTACAAATAAAGAAGAATAATTTTATTAAATAAATAACAAATCTTAACTGATTATTTCAATCTATCTTTTCAATTTATCAATTCAATTTATCTTCCTTATTTTATCTTCTTTATTGATTAATATTTTTAATTTTTTAAATGCGAATCGATTGTTTAACGTTTTTTGTCAATCTGCACATTAATAGACAATAAAGTTATTGTTGTAAAAAAAAAAAAAAAAAAAAAAAAAAAAAAAAAATGGAAAAACAATTTTTTTTTTTTTTATTACTTTTATTAATTAATAAAGAAATTATAACCGAATTTTTCATGCACATAACAGTTTTCTTTCATTTTATTTCGTTTTTTTCCGTTGTAAAAAACTTCTATTTTTCATGAAATTCCTCAAAATTACTATGAGAAATTTTCTCAATTTTTGTGATGGCCAATAATTATTATATATAACATGGTATTATTTATTATTACAGTATTAGATATTATTATATGTAATAATTTTTAGAATATATATTAATATAAGGCAAAGTTCTTTGTCTCATTTTATTTATCTCAATTATTTGTTGACTAGTTTTTCATGATAATTTAAAAAATACATATAAATTCATTTAAAGAGTTTGTACAACTGTATTAGTATATTTGTTCTTGAAAACAAACAATTATATTTGTTTCATTTTGCATATTAATATTTTCAAATGGGTCTTAAAAAACATTTAATTTATTTTATTATAACTTTTATGTGAAAAATTCATACTCAAAATTAAATCTATTTTTACTCGTATAAGCAACTATTAAATATTTGCAATTTCAAATATTTTTTTGAATACAAAATTATTTAATCAATTTTCTTTTATTTATTTCAATTATTTCTTTCATTTATTTTTTAATTAATTTAATATATATAAATATAAAATTTCAGTATGTAAAGTATATATTTAAATCCCGTTTTTTAATTTATATCATTTATTATTATCATAATATTGCATCTTTTGTAATTAAGCCATTTATTTAATTACTCTTTTTTATTAAAAATGAAAATATCAGTTATTGATTTATTGAAAAATTAAATAATTAAAAACACTGCTTATTATACTTGTATTATGAATACAAAATTTATTTTGTAAAATTTACCCCGATTTTATGTTATAAATGCAAACAAAAATTATTATATAAAAATTATTTATTATTGAGATCTATTTGACATTTCATAGTGGGATTAGGTTAAATAACTATATTACAATATGAAATTATTTATGGTAATTAAGTACTTAATGGATTATAATACTTTGTTTTAAGAGTTATTTTATGTTTTAATTAACATCATTGAAGCTTTATTGCATTATAATTTTGTAATTTTTATTAGTCTATAGATTTGAATTACTATTAAGTATCCAATTTCATTTAATTAAATCGTAAATGTCTATGAATCCTATATTGAAAGTTTATGTAATTAACGATACCGGACGATATTTTTTAAAAATGAATAATAACATTACCAATTTGCATTATTTCACTTAATAAGAGACCATATAATTGTTGGGAGCAAATTACGTATTTACTTTCTGTATTTTATAATTCGTCAGCATCTCTTTTAAGCTTCAGAAACATAATTTTAAAAAATATTTTAAAAAAATATTTTATCTATAAGTTCACAAGGACAATGTATAATTTACGTCATACATGCAGCTGTACACTTATCAAACTAAGCCCGTTTATTCCCCTTCCATTGATTCTCATCATCCCTTCCTCTTGAATTTATATTTTAACAGAACTCAAACTTTTTATTTCATAATATGCGTTAACTCTTTCATCCAATATTCTAAACTTTGTCGACAGACTTTTTTATATCGATTTTAGTGAGCTCGCACTCACTATATTACTTACAGTGATATTAGCTTCATCATATGATCATGGAGTACGAAGTTAAAAAATATGAGAACTACAAGAATTACATTGAACTTATGCTTATAGCTTCTGGCGTTTGGCCAACCTTTTGCAAACACCCATATATTTTGAGAAGATCTTTAAGTATTATTTCAGTTTTTACAAGTGGATTTATATTTTATTGTATAGTTGCTTTTTTGGTTAAAAATGTCAATAATATAAATATCGTTACTGGGTGCTTAGGATTGATGATAGGATTTTTTACTACATTTATCAAGGTAATTTTATAATTTTATCAATAAAAACATTTATACATTGTACATTATTAACAAACTCATTTATAAGAGTAAAGTAACTATATAGTAATGATAGACAAGTACATTTAACAGAATACGTATAAATGTGGTTACAAATTTGTTTACGTATGTATTATATATTTGTTTATAAACAAAAAAAATTAAGCTCGAATACCTTTCAAGGTTGAAATTACCGACTTTAATACCGAATTAGTATGATATTATTAATATTTTAAATTATATTTTTGTCAATCTAATGTATAAAATTGTATAGGTTTGCACTCTAGTGATACATGAAAAACATATACGAGAATTGAACGAAGGCATATCGACAACTTTTGAAAATGATATTAAAGTTCCCGAATTACAGCCTCATTTACTGGCGCATTTTCGAATATTCTCAAAATTGTTCAATATTATCAACTTTTTGCTTTGTATAAGCATCTTCTTACTTATCATCATGCCTTTACTAGCCCTCAGGAACAACAAATACGTAAGAACGTATCCACAAGTTTTACCATTCAGCTACGAACCAGGTCACGTAAAGTCGATTTATCCATTGTTATATTCATCTGTACACTTAACGCATTTAGCATATTTGTTGTAAATATATATATATATATATATATATATATATTCACAAAATATTTAAGTTATACTGAAAATCCATTTTATTAAATCAATCATTAATAATATTAATAATAAATATAAATTGGATTACAATTTATCATCCGCTTAAAAAATTGAAAATACAAATAAAATCAAAGTTTTGTTCGCTTAATAAGATATTGTAAGAAACAAATATAAGGCTCTGATAAATCAAATTATTTCACAATTACGAATATATTGAATTATCGAATTATTTAAGAATAATGCATTTAGTATAAAGGGATGCGTTTTATTTTCTTCGATAGGAGGATTTATTCACTGGTCAATATATGCATTTGAGATATTAGGTGGACTTTATTTATGGACTGTCACCAGTGGTGTCGATTCTGTTTTTGGACTCTATGCTTTACACATCGTCGGAGAATTAAGAGTACTTGGCTCAGCCTTTCAGAGCTTAAAATTCAATACCAATTATAAAAAGAATTTAAAAAAATGTATTGATAAACATTTTCTGTTGATGCAATCTCGATGCAAATTGCAACAAGTCTTTAGCTTTTTAGCTTTATGGCTCGCTGTTACTTGTGCCATTGCTATGTGTGGCATTGTTTTTCAAGCTACTCAGGTAATTATCCATTTTTTTTTTTTTAACATTACTTATCAACATTTTACATACACACAAGAAAATAAAATTATAAATATAAGTCGGTCAAGATTAATCGAAAGGTAATATTTTGTAAAATGTGATTTACTAAGATAGTCAGTGAATATATATATATATATATATATATGTGTGTGTGTGTGTGTGTGTGTGTGTGCGTGCGTGCGTGCGTGCGTGCGTGCGTGTGTGTGTATTCAAAAATATTAAATCATTAAATAACATTATTAAATATTATTCACGTGGATATATAATAAAATAGATTATATCATCAGTTCAGTCGCTCATTGGAAACGTTTGTAAACTAACATACGGAGATGTAGCACCTGATCAGCTAAACATAAGAAAATTTATATAAATAAATAGAATTATTATATCATTGAATATAAATTCAATGATCTTTTCTTTCGGCATACTTCGTTGCATACGATTGTAACACATTTTTTTTTCTTTCACACAGACGAAAAATAAAAGCATTGTAAAATTGATGTATTGGACTGGTCATTTCGTTTTAAAATTAGTACAAGGATATTCTTACGCTTGGTATGGAAATATCATTTCTGTAGAGGTAGTTAATATATTTATTATTATTTACTAATATTATTATTTTCTTTAAGATACTGAAATATAAAAAGCATTATAGAACTTACCGAAGTTTTGTAAATATTAATCTATATTTTCGATAAATACATAAGTTATTAATAATGTCTAATGTGAATTTAAGTGCCCACACATGTTATATTAATATTAATTATTTGAACTCTTAGTCAATTAACTCTAAACATTTTTATCTTTTCAGTATGATAATTATAAGATATTATTAAGAAAGGAAATAGAAAGTTTTTCAATTTTAAATTTTATATTATACTTACATTTTCAATTACTAGACGTATACTGTCAAAAACTCGAGTGGATAATATTTTATCGCTATAACGATAACATTTTTCTTACCATCGTGTAAGCTTCTCTTACATAGTCCTGTTTAATTTCTGAAATATTATTTTATCCATCCAAAATACTCGAGATATTTTAATGATTTTTTGTTAAATTATATTTTTGAACATGTTAGTAATATCTTAATCTTAAAAGGATATAAAACATATATCTAAATATTGTAAATCTTCATATTACAGTTAATTAAAAAAAATATTTTTCTTATACATAATATACTAATTTCATTCAATTTAAGTAAAAAATTAAATTAAATCATCTAATTATTCACATTGTTTTTTCAATTTAAGTGATGTATAATATTTCAGAGTGAAATATGTCTGTATTCGATATACAAAGCAAGTTGGCCAGGATCCGGTGAAACATGTTTTATGAAGGATGTACTCATTATACTGTCGCAGAAGCCACTTATTTTTATAGCAAAGGGATGCATGTCTGTACGTTTAGATATGTTTTTGAAGGTAAATTTGAGTAATTTTATTTAGAGCATATCTATATTGTTTAATGGATTATCTTAAATATCATTATTATAATAAATTAATTAGTCAGATTGCGTTTTATACGTTAATCTGATTAGAAGGCAATATAAATTAATTTTACAAACTTAAATGTTATTTCCAATATAGTTACAATATTTATTATCTATTGAATGGATTTTGATGAAAATAACAAATACTAGTATCACTTCGATTATGCATTACTTATTAATTATATTTATTAATTAAATTGAATTAATTATTTGTTAATTAATATCAATGGGATTTGGTTATTAAATGACTCATTAATAGTAAAGCATTATTGTTATTAAATATTATTTATAAGCATTCGTACAATAATTCGTAATTTAAAGAGATTAATTCAAGAAATTAATTAAAATTAATATTGTAATTAATATTGATTGTCAACACAATTATGCTTATTTCAGTTAATAATTCTAAATGTATTATAGAAAATCAAATATTTATTACATTTAAATGCATACTTTGAGTTTTTAGCACATTGCGCTGAATACTGTTTTTGAAGAAATTTAATTTTCACAAAAATGTTCGTTTTGGTAGTTTAAAGATTATTTAAATATTTTTTTATCGGACTTTGAAGAGTAAGAAAAAGTTTTCCGAGGATGAATTTTTTATTACGCTTGAGATTTCTTGAGTATAACTGGATAACTTTTCATAAATACTGACCACATATTTATATATAAATTTTTTTTTATTCATATGTGCTCCAACCATACGCTAGTTCACCAGAATTAATAGTGTTCCGATCGACGTTTACTAAATTCCCTATTTCTGGTATTATTTCAGTATCATTTTGAAATATATTTGTACAAATTAATGCAAAAGCTCTATTTTTTAAAAACAATTCTGTAATTTGTTATCCTTGATAAACTAATATACAATTAATTATTGGTAATATACAATACCTTGATACTATATCCTTAGTATACAGTTAAAGTCTTAATTTCTTCCACGATAAATTTGTATTCTTTATATAATTTAATTTTATCAAGTCTATTAGAAAATTATTTATATTAAATATCTATACTCATTGTTAAATAGTGATTTTTAAATCTACATCTAATCTTTAAAAATGTATAATATAAGTAAATTGTATTTATGGTTGAATAGTTAAATTAGAAATTTTTAAGTAATCGTTGTTCTTGTATTAAATGATTAAATGAATACCGATAAATAAAATTTTCAATAAATGAAAGAATTAAATTATTTGATCTTTAATGATATTAATCATTTATTTACTCCCAATATGTAGCTATCAGTTATACATGTAGATACGTTGTTATAATGATATTACATGAATATTGTTAATGATTTTAATTGTATATATATTGTTAAAATATTAATTATCATTACATTCATTGCTTATTAGAAATGACATAATAGAGAATACGTATTAGAATTTCAAAATTTATTTATACAATAAACAAATATCTTATAATAGTAATAAAAGTGTTTGTTTCATTAAATACTTATTAATATATGTATTTATGAATATATAAATTTTACTAACTGATTTACTGTAAATGATCAAAAATTATTTTATTAAATTTCTATTCTTAAAATTTCACGTTTAAAAGAAATTTTTTTTGGTATTTCTTTGTTCGCAGATTTTACACGCTACTATCTCTTATTTTTTCTTGTTACAAACTTTACAACAACATCCTGATTTAATGTGATAATTAACGTATTTCGTATTTTCGTGTTCACGCATATATATATATATATATATATATATTATATATTATAAATAAATACATGTAAATTATATACGAAATTAAGTTTCTGCTCCGTATCTCTTATCTTTTCACCTTAATTGTCATATCTGTTCACGATCTACGATTTCTATTTTTGATTTATCCGAATTGATTAACACATCCTAGCGATAGATACTTCACTTCTTGTTTCATGGCATTTTAATGTTATATATTTTCAAAAAAATTTTCTCGCTTTCCTTGACTGCTTTAGTAGTTATTGATCCGTTTTATATAATATCGCTTTTATTCGTTTTCCTTAGACTCAATTGTGTATTTTATCTGATTTCATCACCTAATACATTCGATGAATTGTGTGGTATATACTAATAATCTAAATATTGCTACGTAAATTAATATTTTTGAGTCATAAGCCGTCAGAAGGCCACAATAATTGTCCCTAATAATTCATTATTACAATTATTGTACCAAATGTACAAAATATTTTTCAATGAAATTACTAATTTCAATTTTTGTTTTTTATTTGTTTGTTTGTATCTTATAATATTATAATTTTCTATTGGATTTCGTTAAAAGAACTGGTTTTTAAAGTATAAAACAAATAATTGATTTTTTAATTTATTGAGTAAATACGGTATTACATCAATATGGGAAGAAAATTAACTCTTTACGTAAACGATTGACAAAAGCGTAGTCTTAATAAGTTTTATATAAATTAATTATTGATAAAACGGAATTTCTATTTTTCTAGAAAATCCATTTTGAAAAGCTTTTTTTAGGGTCTACACGCTGCAGAATATCATAAGCAACATTATAATAGAATATAATTTGATAATAGAATTATACAATAAATTTTAATTGGAAAAAAAATTCGCTATTACTTCAGTTAAATTTCTCTAAGGTATTGAAAAATAAGAAAGAATTTATTATTTTAATCTAATTATTTAAATATCTTACAGCGATAATATCGTATGCAACATGAATGTTATTTTATTTCCCATTTGAATTGATACTGAAATTAATAACGAATTCAAAGGATTTTGAAGAATAAATTATTATGTATTATTATTCCTTACTAAATAAATAATTCTATTTTCTAAGAAAAAGTAGGATTGAAACAAATTGAATTAATGTTTATTACATAATAATTAAATATTATTTTGCTTTTTAAAATTGTATTGAATAAGAAAATTATTGTTGCATATCTACTTAATTCTATGCATTTATTTTACTTCATTACTATATTATATTTCTAAATTAATAGGGCACTTATAAATATAAATTATTTAAATGATTATATAAATGAACGATGCATATCTTAATAACGAAATTTCACATTAAAATTCAATTCAATCTTAAAATACAATTATGAATTAATTTATTCTTAAATATTATCATTATGATATTTAATATATATATCGAGGGGATGAATTTAACATAAAATTCAAAACATTTGCCTAAAGTGAAACTTACATATTAATCGTAACATCTAATAAGATCTTATATAACATTAATCTTATATAAAATTATTTTTATTCTGTCTGCAATAAGTTTTTAATATTCAAATTAAAATTATACCCCGAACAAAAGTTTAGCACAAAAAAGAAAAAAAAGAGTAACTAATTCCATTTTAAGTACTGAGCATTAAAATATCGCTGCCATTGCTTCTTGTTACGTATAAATTATCAATTATATAATATTATAAATCTTAGTCATTATAATCAATGCTAAATAAGATAGTGATTATTTTATGATATCAAACTTTTTTCTTTTTTGTGCTAAACTTTTGTTCGGGGTATAATTTTAATTTGAATATTAAAAACTTATTGCAGACAGAATAAAAATAATTTTTCTATTCGAGACATCGATTTACTTGCATATAAAAGTAGTATAGAGTAATTTAGATAAAAATAACCGGCACGTGGTAATTTTCTTCTTTAAGAGAAAAACCAGGGATCATATTAGCAAACTTGTTTATGCTTTCATTAAAACCCTATCTTTCCCTGTAATTTTTATATACCGTGCTGATATGTATGTAGCCATGTGTGAGTGGATATAGGAAAAGGTATTCCAGTTCGAATAATAGAGAATAATTTTGATTATGTATCATGACTTGTATAAAACTATAAGATAATTCAAATAAATCAATACGATAATAATTTTAGTAGCGGATAGTTTGCTAGATGCTTTAATCATGGGTCAATCTATTTTATGTTATTATTATTATTTTTTTTTAAACAATTTTAATGAAATTATTATCAAGTTTAAAAAATAAAGATTATAATTCTCAACTATTATTATAATTTAGCTGTATTATAAATTAAATTAATTTTGTCAAATTTTTTACTTAATTGTTTACCAAATTCATTATATGCTAAATTCTTGTTTAATTATATATATATATTTATGCACATAGTAATATAATATTATATTTAAAATAAAAATAATGGTATTTATTGAGTAATTATTGAGTATTTATTGAGTACAATCATCTATAATATTACGGGTGTATAATATTTTATGCTTTAATTCAATAATATATAAAATTTATAGTCTATTAAAATTTTTAAATAAATATTATAGTCTTGTAAAATTCTTTTAAAAAATCTATTTAACATTTCATAAGAACTCTCAATTCTATCATGATGTATCGACAGAATTTAATGTCTTTCACACTTCCTTATTACAAAAGATTATTACTAGATTAAATGCAAATTGTACATGTAATATTTTGAGAATTGGCGACTTTAAGCAATAACATTTTCGTTTAATTATTAAATATAATCAGTAAGATACTAATTTTTTAATAGAATGAAACCTATTTTTTCATATTTAGTTAATTCATTTATTTTCAGACTATTTAGTATATTTTTACAATACGAATATATGAAAACTATATAAATCATGTCAATAATACCTTTTGATTAATATCGTATGTTTAAAATTAATATTATAATATTAAGTTTATATATACTCTATATTTATAAAATATCGACATAAAACATAGAAATAATGTAAAAGCTACAGATTTAACGAATTATTATATGTATGAAATATTGGGCATGAAATATTCATAAATGTAAGATTAATTTTGAACTATAATTTTTATACAGAAACAAAGATCAATAATTATAATTAATCTATTAAATTGAAAATATAACAGTAATTCAACCTTATGATTATATTATTATGATAGATTACTGATTATCGTAAAAACAATTTCTTTAATTTGCAACAAATCACTTTAATGTCATATTGTATCTCCTAAAAACTTATATACCTTATAGTTTATAATATTTGTTAATGAATATTACGCATTGAATTTGTATAATAATAATAATAACAACAACAACAACAACAACAACAACAACAACAACAATAATAATAATAATAATAATAATAATAATAATAATAATAATAATAATGGTTAATATTTTAAGATATAGAAGTTAAATTAAAATATCTTTTACCGTTGATGTTTTTATCCACGATCAAGTATTGTACATTAATTTTAGTAAATTTAGTAAATATCTTTAATATTAAAAATTTATATTGATTCTTATTTAATTAATATATGATTATAAACAAATAAAATATTTTTAAATGTATACAATTATAATGTCTAGCATCGTGTAATTCTACTTATAAAAGTTAAACAATTTTTTATACTTCCAAATCCTATCACAACTGACTATGTTGCAACCAATAAAATAATATAATCTGCTTTCAAATTTCAACAAAATAATTATTTAATAAAATAGTATAGAAGATAGTGTTAATCAATATTTTAACATAAGATTAGATTTAGCTGGGCAAATATAAGTTAAATACTAAATTTCATTAATTTATATTTATATTATAATGTCGATAGAAAAATAGTTAATTTGATAATTTACATCTTCAGATACATTTTTCAAATAATGACAAAATTTAATTGCTCACATCGATGTAATGCTATTACTAATATGTAACAACTAATTATAATTTTGTATAAATTATTAGATAAGATCTATATATATAACATTGTATTATGTAATTTTATCGAACTGTGTAATTTTATTTGTATCTATAAATTTGTAATATGTAATTGTATTAAAATTATTAATTTAACAAATTTCTTTAATAAAAAATTGTTTAATAAATATTCATTAGTATAAATATGAATATAAATTATATAATTTTATTTTAATTTTAATTATACTTTACCAATTAAAGCTAAGAATATGATCATTGAAAAAATTTCTAATCTATTTTCTTCCTATTTCATTTTCTATTTCATCCGTTAAAATAACGTTACATTATATTGTTTATAAATTATTTATAAACATGAAAAGTTGATATTAAATTATTTTTATTTTATTGATTACGATTTTTTATTTTCAAACATTTGTCTATTCAATTAATTTTTTTTTTTTTTTTTTAATATTTACAACTGACTCACTGTATATTCACAATTAATTCAATTTGGAAAAATAATATTCGTTATCTTTATCTTATTAACTTTATTAGCATAAAAATTCTAATAAAGTTTTTTCTAAAATTCTAATAAAAGCTTTTTGATTAATTAAGATATCGAATAAAGTGGGACAGTTAATTAATTTTGTTTATTTAATTGATTAAAGAAACATGCACATCGATGAGACACGACTGATTACTCTAGTGCGTCGATATTTAATAAATATCAATTATAATAGGATATTTTAATTAATTAATTTGTCTATTATTTTTTGTAAACTATTTATAATTTATAAATAATTTCAAATGGTATTATGAATTAAAATGTAATAAATCGTCTTCAAAAATTTTATGATAGATAATTCGCTAAAATTAATCTTGTTAATGATCTACAATTTAATTATTTGGAATTTAATATAATTATAATATTTTTATTAAAAATAAAATCAGTGCTTGATGAATTTTTAAAAAATTTAATAGTAAAATATTTTGAATTTCACTCGTTTCCTAAAAGCATATTTACATTTTTATCTATATTATTATAAAAGTAAATAATAAATTATATTGCCATAACATTGTATTTCGATTTATTTAAAATAAAATTGAACAAATATAGTATTATTATAAAATAATTACTGATGTAGAAAAAATCTTACATTGTTTCTTCGACTTCTTACATCTCGATACTTATCTAACCAACTAAACAGTTACTTTCCCCTTCCAAACATCTATGCCATCCCTACCTTTCTTACTTTGAGACTACACTTAACGAAGTTAAATTGCTACAAAGTTCAAACTGCATAATGTACCTAATCCTACTCTATGAAGATTTAAATGTTTATTAACCAAGTTTTTCCCTCGATACTTAAGCCATAGTTATCGCGCATATTTTTTATAATAAAGATATATCAGTATATAACAATGATGGAATATGAGGTGAAGAAATACGAAAAGTACAAGAATAATATAAAATTTTTGCTCATTGGCTCTGGTCTTTGGCCAGATTATCAAAAGCATCCAAAGAACTTAAAAAATTTTCTGAGTATTTGTTCTGCGGTATCGAGTGGCTGTACAACCTATGGTATCATTGCTTTTTGTATCAGTAATATTAGTAACATCAATATTTTGACAAGAGGTTTAGGGTTGATGATCAGCTTTGCATCAGCTTGTCTTAAGGTAAGAAATATAGGAATGCATTTAAAATTAATAGAAAATATTCAATTTTTTATCGATGATTGCTTTATCGAAATACAGTGAACGAATGAAATTTGAAATAAATGTATAATTGATGAATTTCTGATTAAATTCAAACAAATAGAGTCCACAAAATTAAAAATAACCATTTAGTTTTTCAATTCTTTAAAATTTACAAGCTCTTATATATAATTATATAAATAAATGTAGAACAGCATTCTAGATAAAATATTAGCTTTAAGTTTGCTTCAGGCTAGCTTAATTATATCGATCAATTTGTGCTTTCGAATAATATAAAAAATTATTTGGAAAATTTAATGTTTTTGTACGATGAAATAATTTCGACTAATAAAATAGGTATGCATTTTGGCTCTTCGCAAAAATGACTTGTTGAGTCTCAATAAAGGAATCTCCGCTCATTTCGAAAAGGATCTTCAAATTCCAAAATTTCGTCCGTATTTGCTGGCCCATTTTTCAGAGTTTTCGAAATTCTTTTACATCTTTGATTATTCGGTTGCTTTGAATTTAACTATGTTGATGCTCACCCCAATGTTGATGCTGAGACATGGCAAATACGTAAGGGCATTGCCGCAACTTATACCATTCAACTACGAACTTGGTATTTTCCATCATAATGTATTTGTATTTTTGTATATTTTTAAGATACATTTTTAATACCGAACAATAATTTCTTGATTATGTTACGAATTATCTTTTTCTGACAAAATATACAATCCTCATTATAAATATTATAGATGAGGAAAAGTCATTGATATGATAGCTTTTATTTTATTTCGTTTAAAATTGTAATTATTTTTTTTTCTTTTTTAAAATATTTTCGAGTAATAAAATTAATGCTTATATATATATATATATATATATCAGTAATAAAATTAAAATGCCTAATATAATATGTAATTGATGTAACGTAATGTTGAAATATATTGTACCTTTTGACATTATATTCAGAATTTTATCGACATTCAAGTATCAATATATATATATATATATATATATATATATTTTGAACTGTTTTATAGCCAAAATATTTATAAATGTAAGTGTTTTCAAACTATACTGCTTTTTGGCCAGAAATATATTTACTGAAAAATCTAACTAACTATATTACACATGAATGTATAGACAAAAAGACGGATATTTGTAAATAATTATGCTATTTTATTTCGCTATTAGGAGGAGCCGTTCATTGGTCCATCTATGTATTTGAAATACTTAGTGCTTATTATTGTTGGAGTATAACCGTTGGAGTTGACTCCGTATTTGGACTTTACGCCATGCATATGGTTGGCGAGCTAAGGCTACTTTCGGCTCGTTTCGAGAGTTTGATCTCAAGTAAGAATTATAGAAAAGACCTGAAAGAGTGCATTGATAGGCACATTCTAATCATTGACTCTCAACATTTAATGCAGCGAATTTTTGGTTTCTTGGCAATTTGGCTGGCTGTTACATGTGCCGTAGTTATGTGTGCTATTATTTTTCAAGCTACTGGGGTACGAAACTATTTTTAATATCTTATTCAAAATGAAAAACTCACTATGTCTTGTAGTTCACACTGTTTTATATGTCTCATTTTTAGTAATGAATAATTACAGATCTGTACAAGAAACGCATCAATGCGTTGCACAATTTTTATCGTAAATCATAATTCATTGACGAAATTGAATTAATACAATTAAATATTTTGTTTTAACATCTTTAACTTCCGTTTCTGAAAAACTATAAGTTATAAATTTTTTTACATATTGTAGTATGTATTAATGATTAAATTTTTTAATACAGATACAGAATATGACTGTTTATAGAGCAATATATTTGATATGTTACTGCTTCTTAAAATTAGTCCAAGCTTATACTTATGCTTGGTTTGGAAATATTATTGCTGTCGAGGTAAGTATTTATTATTTCTATCGAATTATTTTAAAATTGTAAAAAAAAATTTTGTACGAAAATTGGTTATATTTACTATTTCCGACTAATGTTATATTATTGCACATTAGAATTATAAAATTGAATCAAAAGCTTTTTATCTTATATGTAAATATGCAAGTGAACTATTATACAAATTTTCATTCGACAAAAAGTTAAATTGGTATAGTACTATTTTACATTAAAAATATAAAAATTTATGAGACTGGCTAATAATTATTCGTAAATAAGAGTTAAAATTATAATATCCTAAATAAATTCGATATTATATATTAAATAAGACATTAATTACATTTATAGAGTGAAATATGTCTCAATTCAATATACAATGCTCATTGGCCAGAAACTGGAGATTTACGATTTATGAATGACATTCTTATCATTCAGTCGCAAAATCCATTACGTTTTATAGCTAGTGGCTGCGTAATTGTGCGGTTAGATATGTTTTCAAAGGTGGGTTCAAACTAATTTGTTATTTTAAATAAGAAAAAAATATATTTTAAATATTAAATATAGTATTTGACATTAAAAAAGTGAAATTGAACATTCAAAACTATATAATTCTTTTATTCTATAATAACTGGAAAAATTATAAATAAGACTTAGGAATCTTTATAAACATTAGTAAAAATATTACATATTGGTTTTTTATTTGCAGATTCTACATGCTTCGATATCATATTTTTTTCTATTGCGAACTTTAGATGGAAATGTTCAAGATTCTTAAGCATTTGACTTTTGAATACCAACTAAAATTTAGAATAAAATTAGATATTTTTCATTAATTATTTTATTTATTTACATAATTGTAACAAATTATAAGCGTCATAATTAATTTTTCATTATTGTTAGAGAAAAATCAAACGGACTTATTCCAAAATGATAAATCGTTATTGATATAATATTAACAGATACTGTAATGTACGTACATAATATAACATCAATTTTCGTTTAATAATCTGAACTTTCAGTTAACATTATTCTAATTTTAATCGCAAAATTATTAATATTTATCCCTTCAACTTTTATTTCATTTTATTCTAGCTCGTCGCCTGTAAGTATAATTTCGTACTGCCGCAATTAGGAATATTATGAAATGAATAAAAAGATTTTTACTATTGAAATTTTTGGATAATTCTCGCTCATTTGTAATCATAAAAAGAATTTATAAATACAGTTTATGTTAAGTTTTTAAATATATTTTAAATATATTTCTTTTTCAACAAGCATACATTTTTTCCTTTTTTTTATCTCACATGTCAATAATAAAAGTTGCAAGATATTGCAATAAATATATTACTATATACAATTAACTATTAATAATTTTAATTTTTCATAATTTACAATTTTTTATGTTTTAAAATGACTAAATACTTACTCACATCTATACGCATGAATTATCTTTCAATTATATTAACTACTGAGGAAAGTATGAATTAATAATACATTAATAAAAGAAACGATAAAAGTGAAAAATACATATTACATGCATCCTTATAAATAATAATAATTATATTACACATACAAAAATTTAAGTTCAAACATAATTTGAAACTTGGTATTTATACTTATAATTTTATTACGCTAATAATCTTTTTTAATTAATATACTAAACTATATTGATGTGATATTTATTTTAAAAATGGCTAGTTTGTCTTTGTTTTCATTTGCTAGGAAGACAATAAATATCTTTTCTTACACAATTTTTCATATTTCTTAACTATGCTAGCGTTACACTTGTTTCTGTAAAAAAACAAAAACCGTTTCTATATTTATATTTAACTGAAGTTGTTAAATTTATTTGATTATTGATTATTTAGTATCCAAATTTTGTTGTTGTAATCAGTCTCGTAATCTAAAGGTGTAACTAAATTCATATTTTATGCAATTACAATAATATCGATTCAATTATCGATAATAAATTATATACCAAGTAAATGTGCATCAATTTATTTCATAAACTATTGTACAAATTTAGTATTATATATATATATAATTTAATGTTAATATAATGCAATATTTAAAAAAAAAGTTAGTGAATAAGTGAATTCTCACGATAAAATTTCTTAAAGTGAAAACTATGACGGCTTATATAGTATCAAGTAATATGACACTTCACCATTATAGAAGATATCAAAGAAATTTCATTTAAATCATGCTTAGCGAACTAAAGGAAAGAAGCTGCAAAAATGTTAAAGAAAAATATTACTTATGTAATTCAACCCTTTTTAATAAGTTAAAAAATCTACAATATACAATACAACGAAGGTTCTACAATAATGATATACGTAAGTGTTGAACTTTTATTTTCATTAGATCATCACATTTCAATTTGCATAGTGTTTTCCCAAGTGGTTCGTACTTAATATTTTTAGTTTATTATCTCCACTTATACACAACTTCTCGCAATGGTTTTTATTTATATATTTAATGTATTTTTATTTAATAACGATGTGGGACAATTGTCGATTTCTTTCATTTTCGTTAAAAGTATGTTTTTCACTTATATATATATATATATATATATATATATATATATATATATATAACATACTCGTATAATGTATCATTGTTTTAAAAAATAATATAAATATTAATTTTATAATTTAAAAAACTTTATCCTCATCAGCGTTATAAATATTATTTAAATATTTTGATATTAAATATTTTAATTATTAAAATACATTTGTGTACTTATTTTTGCATAATTTTCTATTATCTTTTCTTTAATTTTTCAAGAACACTTACATTATTAATTATAAAACACAATAAAAGCTTAATTTTAAGTTTCATTAATTTAAAAAAATTATATTTTGTAATTTATAATTTATTATATTTATAATATATTAATAATATAATAAATATTTTATCATAATATAAAAATTAAAAACTTAAGTGCCTTTTAGTTTCTCCCTTTATACGATTAAATAAAAACAATATTTTATCAAGATTTTAAAATTTACATTTTCGTAAATGCTATTTCTTTTACTAACAAATTATTCTATTTCATATTTATAAAATTGATTTTTATTGCAATTCAGAAAATTTTCTTATACTTCATTTAGCCGATAAGTATCGAAACAGATAATATCCAATTGATATTAATCATCCTCTGTTTAATTTTTCACGTTTTTCTTTTTATTACCAAAGTGGTAAAAAAATTTATAGTATACTAATTATGTTCAATTATGACTTTTATTTTTTTTTCTTATCATTTTGAGACATTGTATAATTTGCTTAACTTAATTAAAGTTTAAAAAGTCACAATAACTTCAATACAATATAATTTAACATCCAGTGCTGAGATCAGTCGTTAGATTTTAAAATGACTATAATGGAGACACCAGTTGGTGTCTATATTTGTTTACCATTATAAAATCCTGAAACATGGTCAATATTTTCATTTCAACAATTTTTTAAAATGATTTTATTTCATAATATTCTTGAATTTAAAGATATTGTTATACTTAATGTAAAAGAAGATTATAACTAAAAATTTTAATCTAACAACTTTAATAACCATTAGCACTTTTTATTCATCCGAAATAATTTGATGTTAATTCTATTAAATTAATAAATAAAATTATTCATGTTATATTTTAATGTGACTAAATCCGAAATTTTAAAATCAATTTGCGCAGAAATACTAAATTCATGTACATATTTAACCTCCAACAATGCTACAATCGTTCCCCCTCTATGTAATTATTAGAACTCTGCTTTATTCTGAATATTTTAACAGGATATATGAGCTCGTTGGAAACTTTATTCCGCAAAGTACGTATAATATGTTGGATAGATTGAAAAATTATATGATTAAAATTTGATAACAATTAGGGGAAACAAAAATTTATAGAATTTAAGAGAATTTAAAAATCAATTTTATTACGAACCAATGATCGACGTTACTACAATACTATTACCGCATTACTTGAATATTGAAAATTCAAAGTTATTTATAAAATAAATTATCATGTTTTCACGTTTTCATAAGAACTATAACTTTTGTATAGATTTATAATGTTTAAATTTAATAGAAGAAAGATTGTTAATATAATAACATCATACAATATATACAATTTTTTGTAATTTCAATTAAAATGTATCCTATGTGTGTTAATGTAGGTTGAAATTATTATTTGCTAATTATCTTTTAAGTTCATTTTTTAAGAAAATCCTTAATAATTCTGCAAAATTGATTATATCATGTTAAATAACAAGTTTTTGTATTATGTACTTATTGGTATAAATATACTTGTATTTATAAATTTATTATAATGAAAATCGAATCTCAGACTATCTTGTTAAATTTATCATTTATTCATTATTTTTTTTTTTTAACGAATTTTATTATTAGTGGAGCGATTACATCAAGCACAATACTTAAAATCAAATATGAAAAATGTATATTAATAATAATTATATCTAAACGATTTTTTAACGGTGTGTTGTGCACACGATCTTGTTAATATCGAGGATCGTCTCCTCTTCCTCAATCGCTCTCATCCTTTGCCAAATGCAGTGGGTTTAACATTAGTAATGAATGTTTTTTCGTTAATATTCTCGATTAAGGGTGGTAAAGACGTGCAGATATTTCCAGTAATATTTCCAGTTGACTTCGAGCCTGGAGGATTATTTAACGAGACACTCGTAACCTTGCAAATAATAATTAGATTCTTCGTAGAGTTTGCCACTAGTGGCGTTGACTCTATTTTCAGGGTGTAGATTTAAAAATTTAAGAACTACATCGAATTGTAAAAATAATCTAAAAGATTGTATCGAACGACATACTTTGCTAATAAAGTGTCGAATCGCTTTAGAAAGGATCTTTGGACTTTTATCCATTTGGTTATTGGCCACTAATACTATCGTACAATGCTCACTTATCTTTTAAGCAAAAATAGTAAGTTTATTTACATCAGTTTATTCAAAAGTTAAGTGTGAAAATCAATTTTATCATTAAAATATACACTTATAAATTGTCTTTTACAGACAGTAATTTTATCGTTACCCGTTTTAGCGGATACACCGATAATTTGATTTGAAACACTAAAAGATAAACAAAATATCATAATAACAAATAAATATAACGATTATTTGTTCATTAATTTTCTTGATTTTTATGAGTAATAATTATTTTACCAAATTAAAGATTATGTTGTCTGCTTAAAATATATAAATCCTATAAATTCGATAGTCATTTGTATCAAAATTATAGAAATGTTTGACGAATTTATGTCTCTGAATAAAAAAAACCATATTCTTATTACGCTATGCATACAACAGTAGATAAATAGTAATTAAACATTTCCCATAGTTACATATAAATTGTCATTATTGGTATTCAAAATACTTTATAGGAAATTGGATTTTTTTTTATTCTACATTTTTATGAAATTCACGCAAGCATTCATATACGGCTGGTACGAAAAAGTAATTACCGAAGTGATAAAAACTACTACTTTTTACTCTATATGTTTATATATATATATATATATATATATATATATATATATATAGACATGTACTTGTATGCGAGTAGAGTACATTTTGTCCGAATGCTGTGTATAACTCATTCTGGCTTTGATCTGGTGATAATCGTTTTATGACTGATGTTTTTATTGTTTTATCACAAAATCCTTTTACTTTCAACGCAGAGAACTGTATGTTACTCCGCATGGATATATTTACAAAAGTATTTTTATCATTATCAGTATTGTTATCAATATGATAATAATTATTAATTTACATTAAAAAATCTTAATTTTTTCTCTTACAAGCTTTAAATGAACCAAATAAAGTAATCATTAAAGCTACTCAAATTATTTTTTATCCGCATAAGCGAGACCCTAATGAAACAGCGGTAATCTTGAACAAAAATTTAAAATATTTTAAAAATAAATATAATATTTATTCTTAAAGCTTTGTGTTAATATTTTGTTAATTATAAAATAACATACATTGCTACGGGTTTCGCGACTTAGCAATTTCATCGAATTCAATATTCTCAATTTAGTAAATTGTGCATAATTGAAATGAAGTATAAACAGTAGTAAATAATATATAAGTATAAAGGTTATTTTTTCAATCATTATTATATTTTGATGCGGAAAGTACAAACTGTAAATTTTTCATCAAATGTATACGAGAATATTTTTCTAAACAGCTACTTATTTAAGTAAATATTTAAGGACTGTATTTTGAAATACGTAATTTAAGCATTTTCTGTATTACATTATATATTAAATTGCATTAAATTCATAAATTTAGGAACCAAGAGAAATATTCATATTCTTATAAGTGGTCTTATTGATTATTTGATTTCATTAATAAAATTTGAATGCAAATTGAATTTTTTTTCAATTATATTACTGTAATTAGAATATTAAAATATCGATAAAACGTCGTTGGTAGATTATTGTTGTAAAGCATCGTTTCATAAAAAAAATACCAATGAAATTGTGTTTGAAGAATAGATTAATGTTTCAAGTTATAGAACATGCGGCAAGTCAAAAAGAAAGAAGGCGAGAGCTCTTTAAAATTCAATCTTTGAATATGCAGTAACAGCAAACCTACCTGGTACATAAAGTCCATCACTAATCAAATATGTAAATTAATACCACCATTATTCTTTCATGCAATCATGCCTAAAAATATATTATTTGGAAATCATAATGTGTAGGCAGAATTTTATATTTTTCACAATTAATAGCATTGCAAATCAATATTTACATGTTGAAATTGAAAATGGTTAAATTAAAATAATAAAAAAAATTAAATCATTATTTATGTACTAACAAAAAATTTGAAACATTATTTAACACACACGCGCGCGCATACATACACGTACATAAGTATATATATATATATATATATATATATATATAGAAAGAGAGAGAGAGAGAGAGAGAGAGAGAGAGAGAGAGAGTAAATGTAATTATGTTAATCTCGATTAATGCTTATTAAAAAAAAATTTCTGATGTATTGAGATCGCGTCAGCATGAAATTAGAAAAATTAGATAAATAAAAATTACATAAGAATAATTTATCGCTAGGCAAAAAAAGCCATACGATGTAATTTTTGGCGAGATAAGAGTCGTAGCTGAACTATGGTAAGAAAAATGTAATTTCAAAAAAGTAGAACATTTATACAATGGGGATACCTTTAGAAAACTTTCGGATTAAATGCGAGAATAAAAGAGAGTATGTGTGCGATAGTTAATTATACGAAATATTGGTAAGTGTACATGGAAATATTGGAAAGCTTTCTTGGTAGAATTCATATGATAGATTAAACTCTTTTATAAATATACAATTATGTACAAATCTTTCAAGCTTTTAATAGATATTCAATTGGTATTTATAAGACCACCAAATACTATATAATTTTGCAGCAGTTTCTCTCTTGTTTTTTACCATTTACTTTATATAATTTCAATCAATTATTCATTCGTCAATTATATCGTTGATAAAATTTATAAAATTTATAAAATTTATAAAATTATTCTTTTACAATAGAAAATCAGAAACTTTATGAATCATTTTTTTTTCTCCTCACCTTAGCTCTTAATAAAAAGTTTTCAATATCACTTCACCATGAGATAGCTCAATTTTCTCATTGATACAAAATTTACAATATTTAGTCATAATTCACAAATCTTATATTCATTTTTATATAATGTTTCGAATAAATGACTGTTTAATTATGGAATCGCGAGGCAAAATATTTACCTTATTTTACTTTCTACACGTTAAATGCAACTTTGTAATAAAATTCGTTATCTCGAGTAAATAATACAAGTCGCGATCAATAATGAGTCTACGTAACACAAATGAACTTTAAATCAATTGTAGAACTATCGCGTGTGTCATGAGTGTGTGTAAGCCTGAAAATATTTAACGCTCAATAGAAGATGAAGAGGAATCGATCTTACAAGCAACACTTTTGAACCACCGTTTTTCATTTTTAAAAGACTAGAGCAACAGGGGGAGGGGGAAGGGGGAAGGAAAGATTATTTTCTTGAATGTATAAAAATGGAACAGCGATTATGATGTGTAGGATCGTAGCCAGTCCTGTCACGATCTCAAAAAACGTTTTCGTGGCACGCAAGCCCCTCCCCCAACTGTTTTCCCTCTAAAGACGTGGAAGTGAAACTTCAGTTCTCTTTTGATGTTCTGTATGCTGCAATCGTACGTTTTGCAGTCAGTCGATTTTACTTCTATATATTAAGAACAGTCATCCCATCTTGAATTATATGAAAAATACTTTTATACTTTACTTCTATTTCACCAATTATTTTACTTAAATTCTTGAATTAACTATTCTATAACACGCTTTTTCATGGCATAAGCTTCCGGTTCGCGCAAAGTTCGAGCATAAATGAGTCTCGCCATAATGTCAAAATACTAGTTAATTTAGTATTACCGAGCAAATTTGGAGCTCTGAACTTGAAATGAAGAAGCTATCTTGAATGTAATAGCGGTACGAACTTTTAGAGGTAATGAGTGTCTCTTTGAAATGTGAGATAGGAGAGTACCCGATGAGCGGTCACGAGAACGTGCGACGTGGACTCAAGAGCGAGAATTTCCTCCGGAATTCCAATCTTTTTATCCTTTACGCTAAGATATTTCGGGTGTTATTAAATAAGTGGGAGCAAACGGGCTTCGTCGACGACACGGAAGAGAATGAATATACGTGGGAACTGAACAATCTCGTGCTCCCAAGCGATAGAGAATGGCGGATGAAGATCTATTATCATTTGGTCCAGCTGCAACGCGAAAACGATAGCAAAGCAGCTCTTAGTAATAATTGGGACGTTGATAACATATCGTAAGAATATACCGTACTTTATCTGTTAAACAATGGTAAAATTCGACGGATTGTTCTATTTCTAATAATTTCCAAAGCTATTATTCAATTATCATTTATGTTATTTACAATTTAATTAATTTTAAATTTGAACGTTAGCTGGACAAAAATATCTAAATACTTTTCAATTTGCACTTTTTTAAAAATTTTTTATTTATTAATATTCCAGTAATTATTAAGTTAATATTTAGTTCTGCATCGAGAGAATTAATAAATGCCATAAAGAAATTACTAATATAATCAGCGTAAAGTTATTTTAAAGAACATTGATCGCGATTACTATTAAATTCTATAGAATTTTTAAAATATAATTAGCAAGGAAAATTTATAACTTATGCGAGACTCATCAGAATTAGACACAAATTATTCTTTAATTTTATAATAATAAATTATATAAAATTGATTAAACTGCGAATCTCTTTGATAAGACCAACGTCTATAATTTATGAAGGTTTTTGACGCTTCTAATTTTATTTATATCTTAATAATTAAATTTCTGTTAAACTTAATAATTAGATAATATTTGTTTATAAAATTTTAGATAATTTTAATTTTTTATAGTATTTATTATAAATATATCTCTTGCTCTCTTTCAATACTATTAAAATATCAACAACAAAAATATGTTATAAGCTATTTGTAAAAAAAGAATTATAATAATTTTTTATAATAAGGAAAGAATTATAATAAGCTCTTTTTGTTAATCCTCCAGCTTATTTTTTTATATAAGCGACTAATTTAACAAATCGAATTTTGTTTTTATTTATATTATTTATTTATGTTAATTGCAAAAAAAAAAATCTATTTTATTCAGCTTTATTTTATAAGAATGCCCGTGTAAAAATTAACCATATTAATGCTACAACATTGACGACGTATCGATACTTTAATTTCAATAGATACGAATTATAAGATAAATCGATTATTTTCTACATTCAGTTTTTACAAAATTCCAGTCTTCATAACCTTTATCAATACAATAACCAATAGAATAGCATAACCTTCACTCATTTTATTCATGGTATAAAAGTATATTAAACGGATTGAATAAAACATGCATAATTCTAATTACTATGCAATTTTAATGATAATAATAGACTAAAAAAAAACTCGCAACGTGCATATGTGCAGAATGAATACAAAGAACCAGAGCTTAAAGACGATTGATTGCAGAGCGCTAGAAATTTTGAAGATAAATAAATGGGATTGGGAGCCAGATTCTCGGGTCTCGTATCCATTGATGCCACGTACGAGTCGAAGGTTCGGATCTATCGACTCTAATCCTTTACTTATACTGAAAAACAGTACGGAAACAGGATGGAGACTCAATGATATTCTATTAGCAGCAAAGGTGTTGATGAATTCGAGGGAGGAACAGCATTACACCGACGAGGCTGAAATGCGAAGAGTTTTCGGACTTGTCTACGACGTTCTCAGATGTACGTTTCATCCTTAACGTTTATTTATAAGTATTTGCATAAATATATATATATATATATATATATATATATATATATATGCAAGTCCTATTTAATGATTTAATTATTTAGTATTTTGTTATTGAACTCGTTGTTAAAGGGTTGCGATTTATTAAAGTTTATTTCGTTTTATTTATGTATATCATTAATGTGTATTGTTTTGTGTGTTGTTCAAAGCTTAATGAAGAACTCGAGGAGAAAAGTTTGAAATTTTTATCTTTTGTTTTACGTTTTATTATTTACCCACGTTAATTGTTGCTCATCAAAATCATAAGATCTTGACAAAAGTTATTTCACTATTTGTTTAAATCAATTCTCTGTGTTAATATAAACGAATTAGATTTCATAATTTTATTCATCATATGATTATATCGACTAATGAAATATCATATAATCTTGACAACTAACAGGATTAAATAATAGATAAATATATATAATAATATATAATAACTAATCAAACTAGTGTATAATATATGGCCTATTTAATATAATAATCTTGGAATTTTTCGTTTTTTCTCAAAAGTTATAATTATAATACTATTGTTTGTAATGACGCGAACATCGGGTTACTCGACAACTGACGCGTCCCTTCAATTTCATATTTCCTCCAGTCAGAAAAATCCTCGATCGCGCCCTGGACAATGTCGGTTTCTGGCAGCGCTACGGTCTGTTGAGGAAACGCGAGAGGCTCGTCTGGCTGCTGCTCTACGACATGCATGGGAGGAAATTTTCGCGAATCCATAGTAATTCTGCAATCGCGGCCCGCAACCATTCTTTGAAAGAAGCGGATTTACTGGACGTGGAGGAGGCACTACTCGACATGAAAACGAAAGTCGCTGCAGGTGTCTCGCGGCTGCGCATCGGCAGCTCGGCTCTTAGTCTCGGTACTTGCAAAAGCAATGTTTTTTTTTTTTTTTGTACATGCTCTTACAATATTGGACTAAAAATTTTGACTGATACGTCCTCTTATATACAATCTGTCATGCGTAATTGGCATTTTGTGCTGACAATTGAACTTGAGATTTTCTTTTTGAACGGTAAAATCACCGGCCTGATTGTAATTGACACGAGCAATTAGTCTTTTATACCAAGTAAAATGAAGTGAATAATAATAATCGTTTTCTTTTTCTTTTTTTTTTTTCAATGAATAGATGAGCTATTGCCGGCTCATCTGCGCATAGCAGAAGGTGTGACGTGGGGTGAAGAGGGTTCGATCGCCTCGGGTTGGGTTAATAGCTCCAAAATAGGAAGTCGGAAAAAGTTTATCCAGGAAATGCAAAAGCTGGGATTTTCTCTGTGCTTGGATTGCTCGCCTACGAGCGAACTCGAGGAGCATCAATACGTTTTTGATCCACTCTGTCCGAAGGTAGTTAATATTCACGAGAGAGCAAGGGAGAGACTGGCAGTATCGCAACTCGTCCGCAACCATAGCTTTATATTTCTGGTGAGCATTATGATTTTCTTAACGCTCACATTACTATTATTTAGTAATAATGAATAAAAATAGAAGGTATACTATTTCATTTGCGTGCAAGATTTCAATTTGTCGACGAATTACTTTTGTCACAATAATAAAATATATGTTTACTAAATAAAATAAAAGTCTTATGAGATTGTAGTAAATTGAAAAATATTTTCAATATCTTTTGATTTTATAAGAATCGTCATAATTTATTGATTCGCTCATAAATATCCATCTAAATTCAATGTCATATGGCAGTTTCATCGTGCAGTTTCATTGTCGATCATCCAATTAAGTCGATCATAATTTAATTTAAACGCTCTTTCACAACAATACACAATCGATCAACGTAAATAAAGTGGGATTCTTTTTTTGTTTATGCTTTAAGCTTTTATATTAAAAATTGCATAATAGAAAATTATAAATATAGGAAAGGTCCTTGTGCTTGGGAGCGGCTGCACTGGCTCAGGCTTTTAGAGTAGGCAGATTAAGTGGCCCGATAATTTTAACTCATTCATTGGCACCGAGACACACTGGATATTTGGCCGAATTATTGGCAGATATGGAAAATGCCGGTCGACTTCTGGCATTCAGTGTTGGCGATAATTGCGCAAATCATCAAGCCTACCTTAAAGATATCGGAATCTCAATGCAGCGCTGCAAACTCTTCTCCGAAAGGTCTTGTACAATTTACTTTCAACGAAATTTAATGTTAGTTTAACGGGACACGCGAATATTCGGCAGCTTTATCTATAATTGTCAAACAAATGCATAATAATAGCAAACAACGCAAACAACGCAAACAACGCATACCATCGAATATTCTTCCTTTTTTTTTTTTTTTTTTCATTAAATCTAACAATTTTAAAATAATATAAGAAATGAAAATTAAATAGCTCATGTAGTTCATTTATCCGTTGTTCGTAAGTGTGTGAATCGCTAATGGAATGGTCTAATTAGTAGCTTAAACGTTAGCTCATTGTTTGAATTTTGCATTATCTTTAATTGCCAATGGCAAGTAGCCACGTAAGTTAATTAAAAGGCGTATTTGCTTCATGTTTGTGTAGTAACATAAGTTGGTAATATAAAACTGGAACAACTATGAGACTAATCGCAATGGAAAAGACAAATGATAGCGCTTAACCGGGATTTTTATACTAAAGATATATGTCAGTACCGCCATTGCCGGAAATCGATCGGGCCACCGTAGTATTGGCAACACCACCGTGTAGCTACACGGGCGTCCAGGACGTGGTGGATTTGGCGATAGCTCGAGGTGGCGATCTCCAGCTCCTAGAATCGCTGACAAGTCATCAGGCGGAGTCTGCTGAGCAGTCGCGCAACCTCCTTGCTGAGCAGATGTCCACGCTTAAGTATGCCCTCACGAGGCCCAATATCCAGCTCGTCATCTACGAGGTGCATACCCTTCTGCCATGTGAAACAACGGACATGAGTCGACAAGTGGTCCAGCAAGTCAACAGGATGGCTATCGACAAATTTCAACGCGATCACGTCGTAGGTTTATTCTTTCATTTTCACTTAACAGTACCACGATGACGATCAATCGTGTTAAATTAATAAGGTAATTGGCTATTGCACCGGTATGTCTATTAATTATCATTATTTTCATTATTTCAATTTATAGTGATATTGGCACGTGAACATTTTAAAACTATTAATAGGAGCTTTAATAATTATGATTTTTTTTTTGTGAATTTACCTCCAGTATTTGGTTAGTCTGACGTCTAGTAAAATACCTGCACTACTTTTTTTGAATAATTTATGATTTTCCTTGCCTCTAGGCTTCTTTCACTCAATTTGTTCAAATTTTTCAAACTGTACGTTATATTAATGTATGCAGCAGAAACAGGGAAAATCACCAGCAAAAGATTCAAGTGGGAAAAAATTGAAATCTGAAGATAGACGTAAATCTATAGAGTCTGTTATAAGGCTAAAGGATCATTCAAAATCAAATACGGAATCGGAAGAAATTTCTGCTGCTGAAGTGCCGGTACATTATATAATTCCTAAATCTTTCCAATTATTCAAAGCTATTGGGTTTTTTTTTTTTTTTTTTTTTTTTTTGTTTGTAATCGTTATTGAATTATTTCTATTGAATTAAAACTGTCGGCAAACTACGATTATATATAATAATAAACCTTTATACATCGCATTTTATTTATATGTCATTAGTTGATTGCTATTGAGTTAAAAATTTGTGAAATTGAGGCCCATTAGTTTAAATACAAATTTAGTCGCACATATTCGGATACATTGTGAATATAATATAATGCGTTGCAATTAATATTTTATGTAATATTTTCTTCAGCAAATTTGCAATGGATATCTTGTATTAAGCTTGATAAAGAACGAGATATTGGAATGATATAAAATTTTTTTTGTATTTTCTCGATAATTACGATAAAAGGTCGAATACAGGGAATTACATTAATATATTATTATTCCTAAATCTAGGAAATACTGCAGATACCAGAAAGTGATCTCTTTGAAATGGCGAACTTGAATGAGGTATACGAGAGAGACTGTAGCAAACTATTGAATCAAGGCTCCTACATTGTTGTTATCAAACGCAAGAAGATTATACAGTTCAATTCACAATTTATGATTAAGGTTGCCGAGAATAAGGGAATTTTTGGTGAATTGTCAGGGCAATCGGAGCCACAAGACAATTTAATGCAATCCGATCAGATGGAACCCTCCAACATTAATCGAAAGCGTCGCAAATCAAGCAAAGTAACTCTAACGACTTTTATATCCCACGAGTCTTTTAATTTATAGTTTATAAGCTTTATTATTATTAATATCTTCAGTTAAAAAACTATAAATTATCATATGCCTAAATAATTTGAACTATTCGTATAATTAATAATTAAATGAAATAATTAATTAACATTCTCGATAGCTTGCAATACTGATTATCAAAATACGATTCAATTTCACATATTCCACTAGTTGGCACATTATTATAACATCGATAATATTTTTTCGCCTATTCCTCCTCTTATTACATTACACTTATTACATCACACTCCGCGATATCTTCATTCGTTCATTTTCATATCATTAAATAATTTCGAAATTAATATAACAAATTTCCCATTGCTTTCTAACTAAAAATCGAAGTGGTCATATTAATTTGTTAATATTGCCTTTAAGTTTATTTATACAATATTGTAAAGCCTTGTATATCATGTACATTGAATAGTATATGCGCGTATGAAATAGACAGGAAGGAATATTAAATGATGAAATATTAAATTAATTTATATGGAATGTCTATATGTTATTAAATATAACGGCAAATAACGATACTTTATAAAGCAGTCGATGTGTGGGTAAAGTACAACATATAAAGTATAAATAGAAAAATAAGGAAAATCAGTCTAGTGCAACAAGAGAAAGCTCATGGGCCTGACTTAAGTTAAACTAATAAGCACATTGGGAGCAGCCCATTTCGTTAAAACATAATATTAATTCTAAGTACTTTTACTACTTTATATCGTGATATGGTAAATAGGTGTTTTTTAATATCAGCTTTGTCAGCCATGTACCTTTACGAATACTTGGCCATAATTACCGGAGCTCCAGTACGGGAGCTGATGGAGAATAGAGTGGGAGGGTCAGAATATCTGTAGTACTCGATGTATTAAGGAACTGATGGCTAAATACCGATGGCTCGTCTTTTCGTAGATCCAGTTCGATCGAATAACCGCCCCGACTCACGCTACGACAGCGCGCGCCCTTCGCGACAAGCATCTCTGTCCTCGTCATCAACAACATCTCGTTAACGAGGTGAGCTCATTGGAGAAGCAGGTGCGGGAGGCGCGACGTCGGGACGCCCACCGCTGGTGGGACGAAGTGGCGCACGCCTGGCGCAGTAATTCCAACAACGCCGATGACTATCGCTTCCAAGCATTGAGGACCGACCCCCTCACCAGCAAAATCCTCTCCCACGTCATGCACATTACCTACGCTGAGCTCGATCGATCCTCCTTTGCTGTGCCATGATGTCTGATGCTGGCGTCCCTCTCCCCTAAGGCCTAAGTACGACCAGTGATCAGCGACTACGATCGAATTATTATTATTATTATTATTATTATTACTATTATTATTATTATTATTGGCCACAGACGTATTGATCTTAAAAATTAAGACGCTCTCGGATGTAAACGAGGCATTAATCAGACGTAAATTATTATCCCGATTAAAAAGGTCAAGTAACCTAGCCAGCCAATAAACGAATTTTCTAAATCTGTCTTTTTACACGCAATGAGTTTAACCGAGCATTTATCCAAATAATCAAGGTTCATTCTGTATAAATAATTTTTTATAATATCAATAAATATATACAATAACGTATATCATCAATCGTATATCATTAATTTATTAATTGAAACATTTATCCGAATAATTATAATCCGTATTTATAGACTTTTAAATTTATATTTTAATACTTATTTATGGGAGTCTCGATTCTGAGCCACTTTATTTCTGGAAAAGAAGCAAAATAGCTTAAATATAGTAATTAATTAAGCGTGACACTGTTTTGTTCGTTACAGTCGTTAATTATTGTTTTTATGAAGCAGCTAAACTAATGTATCTGTAAATATGTGTATTGTAATAGGTATAATTAACAAATGAAAGACAAAACTTCTGATTCGCAACCAATTGTCATATTCATACTTTTTCTAAACGTGCGAAAAGCGGATACGCACTTGTCAATTAAATTAAAAAAAATTTCAAGATGAAAAAAACGAGAATATTCTAAAGAAAATTCTAGAGAAAATTCTAAATTTGTTTAAAATTATTGATATTTCCTAAAATAAAGACAAGAGAATTGTATTATTTTGAATATTTTGTTTACGTAAATTTGCATTACATTTATTTTATTTAAATTAATAGAGTAATCAAATGCGCAATTCGCCCTATATAAATAATCTAAAATAATCTAATTGTCTATTGAATTATATATAATTATAAGATGTGACAAATTCTCATAAGATGAAAGAATATATTTTGTATCTTATAATTTTTGACAAATGTTATATAAAAACTAATTTAATTTTGATAACTATAATTAATAATTATAAGCCATACGATTTAACAACATTAGTATGTATTCGATGTTTAGACGTAAACAATAACTTAGTTGTATTTTATCTCGAACATTGTTTAAAATCATTATTTTTCTATATTGTTAATACCGTATAAATATTTTGAAAACAAAGTGAACACATATTTATTGATATTAAATTGAAATCTTCGTTAGAACTTTAATTTCCCTACGCTTCATGAACAAACTTTAAAAATCTTGAATTACCCAAATTTTTCATTCACAAAATAATTGTAAAGTACCTTGATTTGTATTACTTTTCTTAATTTATATATTAAATATATTTATATTTTCAAACCATATATCAAGCATTGAACTACCTAAACATATTTTTAATACCCAAAATGTTTGTGAAATATCTTTGTTTTTTAGATATACATTAAAAATATTTATATTTTTAAAACACATAATTTATAAAAAATTTTATTCTATACTATAACATTTTTTAATACATGACATAATAATTCAACAAAATTCTGAAATTTAATATTAAACATCGTAACAATCCAAGAGTAATTAAGATATTCGTATCTATTATCGCTTGCGCTTGGCTCCTCTGAATTATCTTGTACAATTTCTTGCGTCATTATTTGCATTGTTTCAGTATAATAAATAATGAAAAGATCAATTAATTTTGTTAAATCTTGTTGAACAATATTCCATAATGTATGCGTATAAAAGCCCATAATAAACCAAAACATTCTTGAACACAATACTTGATCGCACAAAATCCTCAAACATTTATTCGTAGCAGACTTTATCGGTTCATATAAATTGAAGAATTTTTTAGGTGATGCAGAATTAGAAATTTTGAATTTAGTCAATATTCTATTTCTCAATTTTATAACAAAAACTATCGAAACAATTACACTTGATATAAATGCTATGTAATGATGATTTCCAATAAAAAATACTAAAATAGAATTAAAATTTATATCAAATTTTTCGTACATTTCCCTCCACCCGCAATGCAGGTATTGAATTAATTTTTCATAATTTAATAAAAGATCTGGAAAGAATTTTTCTGACTTCTTAATAAACAAAAACATATGACAAACCATCTGCAACAAATTCTTCTTGAATAGCTGAAGATAAAATGCAATATCGGAAACTTTTACATAAGAAAGAAGAATCATAGTTAAGAATATAAAACCAAAAATAGAATCCTTTGTTTTGAATTTTTTGTTCATTTCGGTATTATGAGTTATATTCGTCCAAGCTTCCTCGGTTTTTGACTAAAAAATTTAGATAATATAAAATACACATATTATAAAATGTTGAATAATCTAATTATATCGATTAACATTGTAACGTGTAAATATTAAAAAATATATAATAATTAAATATGTGTATGTGTGTGTGCGTGTGTGTGTGCATATTCAATTTTTTAAATGAAAATTTGATACATTGTTTACATCTAAGTTCTTCAGTTTGGCACTTTCTTCAATAGCGCAGGATATATTTACACGGAACATTATTTATAAAAGCAATAGAAATATTGCTTAATTTTAGTCATTTTAATAATTACATAATTACAAATTTAAACTATAACCATTACATCTTTATTTATCTTACTCACCTTAAAACATAATTTGGCATCGTTGATAGTTCGTAATTCATTAGCGAGAGTAGCAATAATGGTATCCTTATTTCGACACTTATTTTCCAAGACTTTTATAACTGTTATCAGATTACTATGCGTTTGATTATTCAAATCAAGGACATAACTACTTGAGACTGTGGTACATAAACTAGTTATTTCCGATGACTTGTTCATTACATTTAGTGGATCTTTTAAATTATATAACAAGTTTTTTAGATTACGATTACGAATTTGCAAACGTTGCAAGCCTTCTCGAAGTTCATCAACTTTAACAAACTTTAATAAAAATATAAACATTAATAATTGAATTTATTTAAGAAAATTTAATTAAAGAAAATTAAAGAATACCTACAATATCTATCGATTATGAATATAAATTTTACACTAAGTTGCGATAAACGTTAAATGAATTTTGATTATACAGCTTATATTTGTAAATATTTATACTCATACTGAACTACGTAATGATGGAATTTTTTAATATCATATTAATATTTTTGTCAAATAAGAAAAATTCCTATAATCAAAGCTTTTTAAAAATAAATTCAGCAATATTAAGTTATTGCTAGTTATTTTTAACAATGATTTGCATTAATTATTTATATTAAAAAATACATAGTTAAAATACCCTATTATGAAAAGTATTATTACTAATAAAAAAAATAATTAAATAAGTATATACCTTTAAGTGGTCCATAATTAGTTTTTTATTTTGTAGTTTGCACTTTTTCTCTACATCTAAGAACTTAGCTTTTACATGAATAGCGTCAACGTCTCCTCGAAATTTTTTTGTATTCGTATCTTTTGTAAATACTTTTTCAACACATACATAATATCAGAATTAATGAATGTATTTTAATGTAATTAATCAGTTAATGTATTTTCTAAATATTCTTAATTAGTTTACATACCATCATTATCAGATGTAGACGATAAATCTTCATGCGATTCATTTTTGCTGCAAAAGCAGGTAAATCTGGATGTATTGCTGTATACAGTTTCATTATCATTTGCATAATTTGACGGCGGAATATCAGCATTATTCTTAGTGTAACTACTACGATAGATAAAAGTAAACGTAAATTATATCATATATGTATAATTAAAGACGTATATATTATAAAATGTCAATTATATATCGTTTGTTTTTTAAATAAAGTTATTCTTCTTCTTTTTTTCTTCTTTATGACAAACATGCGCGCACGCGCGCGAGCGCAAAAATACATCTGCGCATATATATATATATATATATATATATATACATTAAGAAAATTATCTTTCAATTTTATACATAACTTCACCCAACTTCAACTTTTTAATACGAATATTAAGTAGCTTGGTAAACTTTATTATATAAAAACAAAAAAAAATGAAGATATTTAAGCAATTTCTTTCTCAAGTACCTATCATTCTAGCCGATTCAAAATGAGCTATAAAATATTAATTTGTATTTCGATTTTAAACCACACCTATCATTTAACTGCTGTTGACATTCACACAATGTTTCTGAATTTGATGATGAAGTTGTTTCATAACATGTGCATTTATCCTGATCAAATAAATCTTTATTTACACGGGCACGTCTTTTCTTTTGTTTTTTATATTTTAATTTTGGTTCCCATTTCTTGTTACTACAATCGAAGCAGTTGTCACACTAGAATAATAAACTTTCTTTAAAAATAAATATTAATAATAAGTTTAATTTTATAAGACAATTAGCCGGATAATTATCAATATACCAACATTATCATAGTTATAAATATCAATATTTTACATTAAGAAAAGTAAAATTTAAATAAAAATGATTTTACTATAGTCATACTTTTTTTTTTTAATTTATGTATAAGTAGAGTTTACTACATTTAAAATATTAAATTTTCTCTTGAGTTTCTAATTTTCAATGATAATTTTTATTCATAGATTATCAATAAGCCATTTATTAATAATATTTGCTCAATAATTTTAGACAACAATAACAAATCTTACTTTAAAAGGAATATTACAAGAGTACTCCTCTGATTCATTAATATTTTCTTTGGTACATAAAAAATTTTGATTTCTCTTTGGCTTTATAACACATTTCCGATTTTTATCCAATACTTCTGAAATATTTTGGGTCTCCGGTAATTGTACGTGATTTTTCCCAAGGCATTGCAAATTATTACCTAATTTACTGTGATAGCCTTCTAGAAATAAAGTATTTATACATTAATAACTTCATTTTTTTTTTTTTTTTTAAGTACTGCAAATAAAATTTGTCTCATATTTTCATGTTTGTATAATAAACTTATCTTACCATTAGTTGCTTGTTGTTTTTCAATTATAACTTTGTCATATAATTTGGTTTCCGTATTAGACGAATCGTTAATCGTATCAACTATAACCTTATCGTGTATTGTGATATCGTGTATATCTGCATTTTAATATAAGCTATTTTAAATATTTATCATTAAATTTACATTTATTATAAATGCATACTAATAAAGCTTTTAGGAGATAACATACATTTCAAAATATTACATATATGCCGACAATTTTGTAAATTGAAATATTTTTATTAATAATAAGTGATTAGGTAATTGGAAAAATTCATTCGCGAAATGGATTTTTAAATAAGAAAACATTTATTAATAAATTATTTATTTTTTATCAATACATTATATAAATATATATTATATAAGATATGTTAACCATATACGTATTAACGTTTTGTTCAATGAATTTGAATGTTAATTGAAGTCTTTCAAACTTGATTTAACGAAAAGATTATATCAAATTTTTTTTTTTTTAATTTCGTCATTAAATAAAATTTATATAAAATTCAAAATATTTTTTGAAAATTAAATAAAATCTTAATAATCTATTTTGAGTAAATAAAAATTAATTTAAAAACGACAAAACTTTTAATAGCGAAATCTACTATTGAAAAAATTGTGGTTAGGCAAAGTCGAATTAATAATTATGTTATTACATATTTTTGTGAAATTGTATTCAAATGATTTGATTTTACAATTTTTAATTATCCAAGGATTAAAAGCTTTATAAGATTGCAATTATAACGTTAAAATTTCAGAAATTTTAGTTAGAATATGAACATTTTTGACCTTAAATAAAGATTTTTGATCAGTCGGCAATAAGGAAATTAAATATTTATTTTAAAAAAATTGTATTTATTTATGCTCAATACAAAATCATTAAAAAATTATCAATATTTAGTAAATAATCTGAATAATTAAAGAATCTTCGTATGCACCTATTCGTGGCTATAATTATATTAATCCGAACCCAAGAAACAATTTTAGATTTCACTGTAACAAAATTAATTTAAACTACGACAGTTTAAATGGGTCATTTAAATTGTAAATGTTGAAAGTAGGCGAATAAGGAAATTATGTATAATCAGTCCAAATACGTCTCGGTGCTTAATAGTATGACGATTTTTCTGAAATAACGGAACCGTATCGGTCACGCCTACCTTGATTTTCATGCATCAAATTGTCAGCGCCTTCTTCGATCCGTTGCAATGTAACGGCGTTGTTCTGGTGTATCATAATTTCAGCAGATAATCTCAGGAAAACACTCGACGTGATATTTCATTTAATAATGCAATACTATATACGACTAATTCACTTCAATCGTTAGTTAAATGTTGAAATCAGATTTTCAAACAGTCTTTCCCACTTCTTGTTGGATAATTAAACAAAACTATACTTATCCATATGTCAGCTGGTATTATTTAATTATTTTAGCAATATTTAACAATTGATGACAAACTTTAATGTCTAGAAGTATTTACATGATGCTACAAGAATTTACATAGTTGACAAGGATACGTGTTAAGTGTGTATTACACGTGAATATAGTCGTAAATTAATAGTTAAATCTATAATTTATAAATCAGTATATCATTTTTATTTTGTAATTAAATAAAATAGTGTTATACAAGTAATTCCAAACGATTTCTTAAAATCATTGCCATTTAAGTTAAAAATTTTATCATAAATTAATTATATAAATGTAATGGAACTTTTTTTAACTATTATAAATTATATATCGAAGAAAGAGAAGTTTCTAAGAATTAATGGCTACTCTTGCAGAATTCGAAAAATTTATCCTAAAACGGAATAATTCGTGTGCGCTAAAGTTTTAAATTATACAAGCCAACGTTATTTTTTAGAGTTAGTAAACGATAATATAAAATTTTCTAATCTAATATAAATAATAAAGTACAAATCAAAATAATATATACAAATATTTCAATTAATAAGACACCTAAAGATTTCCAATGTTATTTCGTAATAAAGTCTTATGATAAGTCAGAAAAAACATTTAATTTTTAGTTGCCTTATGTAGAGAAATCCACAAATTATAATAAAATCCTAATTACATAATAATGTTTATATGTGTGAATAGAATGTAAGTGAAAACAACACACGATATGACTATAAAATTGTATATTTAATAATTGGATAATGTAAATATATAGAAAAATATTAAAAGAAATGGAATATAATTTCGTATAAAATATTATGCCTAAATGATTGAAGAAATTTGATATTTTGAAGCAATACGCGATTCAAAATAATAAAAATGAAATATTGTTTAAATAAATTAAAAATCTGTCCAAATATATGTTAAAAATGACATGTTTCATGTTTGTTTTTGTTTTATTACATAGTTCATTCATCTCGTTTACATATTATAAAACATTAAAAATCAAATAGTTTTTTACTATAAATATTCATTAATATTTGATATTTTTAATACTTTTAAGGAAACATAAAAATAATTATAAACATAATGCAAGTATATAAGTGTATTAAAAATATTATTTATTTACCGAGCAGCATATCAACAATACCGAGAATAAGTATATCGACATCATCGAAAATCAAATCGGTAATCGTGAAAATTATTCCAAATTTAAGGTTAAAATCTATTTATTAATTCTAAGAACGTCAAATAGAAATATGAATTGTATAAATTGGATAAAGGACCGGATGAGATGGAAATTGATGTAAAAGATGCCACGATTATGCTTGAACAAATGCTCTACATTAGAAGAATGGAAAATAAAGCCGCGGAATTATATCGAGCAAGGCTAATCAATGGATTTTGCCACTTATATAGTGGTCAAGTAATATTTTATTAACGTTACCAATTAATTAATACTTAATTCATGCAAATGCAAACGTTTAATAATAAATTGCGAAAGGGAAACAAACTAAAATTAAAATGTTCATCTTATATTGTATATTATAATTTTTAACAGCAAAGTACATACATAATTGTGCACCTTTGTTTATGGCTTTTTTATAAGCTCAAAAATTAAAAATATACACCTGATAAGTCATATATTGTATTGATTAAATAAATAATATCTTGAATTGATGGTTGCTCCTACGATAATAACATAATATCACAATCGCAAATACATAATTTTAAAAGTAATTATGCGATCGACTAAATTAGTTGTAATTGAGTGATAATACATTTAGGAGGCAATCGCTGTTGGCATAAAATCTATCATGCAAGATAATGACACTGTAATAACAGCATACAGATGCCACGGTTTTGCAGTGGTATTTGGTGCATCGGCTCGTGAAGTGTTTGCTGAATTGATGGGTCGACAAACCGGTATATCCAAAGGTAAAGGTGGTTCGATGCACATGTACGGGCCCAGTTTCTTTGGTGGTGACGGAATTGTCGGTGGTCAAGTAACTACAGAGCAATTATTATTATCAGTTACTTTTTTGTTGATATATATATATATATATATATATATATATATATATATATATATATATATATATTCACTGTATTTTCCATTGGCTGTTGATTTTTATATATATTTTATATATTTTTATAAATTCTATTAAAATTTACAAAAATATTTTTGCTGAGATTTTTGTTTGAACATGTGGAGAATATTTTTTCGAATCTTAAATACAATCAATTACTAAATATTAATATAAGTAATAATATAAGCGCTAGTATCCTCTTACATTAAATGCCATAAAGGAGAAATAGACGATAAACAACGAAAAAACGGCAAATTTCTCTTTATTACAAAAAATACAATATGTGAAAAATAGATTATCTTCGTAATATTTAGATAGTAATTGCGTTTACATACATACAAATATGAAGAACTCACGAGACATAATAATTTTAATAGTTTTAAATAAAATTCGAAGTTTAAATATTAGTTTTAAATATTTTCGAAGAGTTAAAGGAATATACGAGTAAAATATTGACAGTATTCCAATTTAACGGCAAGCTTCCATTTAATTTTATCATCATCTAAATCCAAAATCCATAGGAAGTATATTTTAAAATATGGCAGCTTAAATATATTATCATTTATCAATCATAAATTCATACTTGTTTAATAGATCATATAAGGTCCCAATAGGTGCAGGTCTGGCTTTTGCGCATAAATATAATAACAATGGAGGTGTATCCTTCACACTGTATGGCGATGGAGCAGCCTCGCAGGGTCAAATCTTTGAGGCTTGGAACATGGCGAAACTTTGGAGCTTACCAGTTGTCTTTATATGTGAAAATAACAAATACGGAATGGGCACGGTTACACACAGGCACTCGGCCAACGACAAATTCTATACCCGCGGAGATCTCATACCCGGCGTCAAGGTACATTAATCATCTCTCTAAAATATAATTGTTATCGAAACTGGTAATGAAAATTTAATGTATTTTTATGATAAATCTCTACAACTGAATTATATATACGTATGTATGTACGGATAAATTATTCTATTTATAATGGGAAAATGTCAAAATCGACACTCAAGTAGACGTAAAGGATTTCTTATTCATAAAGATATTACGTATTCGATAGGTAAACGGTATGAAAATAGATCAAGTGCGAGAAGCTACGAAATTTGCAAGAGAACACGCGGTCTGTAATGGACCGATTCTCCTTGAAATGGAAACCTATAGATACTTTGGTCATAGTATGAGCGATCCAGGTACAAGTTATAGAACTAGAGAAGAAGTGAAATCTACTCAAGATAAAGAAGATCCAATTAAGTATTTTATAAATTATCTCCAAGAAAAGAATAT